CAAAGACTATACTTCAGGCATTTTCATACAAAACACTATAGTTCACGTATTTTCACAAAAAGACTATAAGTCACGCACTTTCATGCAAAAGAGTATAATTCACGTATTTTCATGAAAAGACTATAGATCACACATTTTGACACAAAAGACTAAACTTCACGTATTTTCACAAAAAGACTATAGTTCACGCACTTTCATGCAAAAGACTAAAGTTCACATATTTTCATCAAAAGACTATAGTTAACGCATTTTCATGCAAATAACTAAAGTTCACGCTTTTTTACAAAAAAGAATATAATACATTAATTTTCATGTAAAAGACTATAGTTCACACATTTTCATGGAAAAAGACGAAAGTTCACGCATTTTCATGCAAAAGACTATAGTTCACGCACTTTCATGCAAAAGAGTATAATTCACGTATTTTCATGAAAAGACTATAGTTCATGCATTTTGACACAAAAGACTAAACTTCACGTATTTTCACAAAAGACTATAGTTAACGCATTTTCATGCAAATGACTAAAGTTCACGTATTTTCACACAAAAGACTATAGATCACGCATTTTAGAAAAAAGACAATAGTTCACGCATTTTCGCATAAAAGACTATAGTTTACGCATTTTCATACAAAAGACTATAGTTCACGTATTTTCATAAAAAGACTATAGTTAACGCATTTTCATGCAAATGACTAAAGTTCACGCTTTTTTACAAAAAAGAATATAATACATTAATTTTCATGTAAAAGACTATAGTTCACACATTTTCATACAAAATACCATAGTTCACGCACTTTCATACAAAAGAATATAGTTCACGTATTTTCATGCAAAAAACTATAGTTCACGTATTTTCACACAAAAGACTATAGTTCACGTATTTTCACAAAAAAGACTATAGTTCACGCATTTTCAGACTAAAGACTATATTTCACGAATTGTCTTACTACAGACCATCGTTCAAGCATTTTCAAGGAAAAGACTATAGATCACGCATTTTCAGGCAAAAGACTATAGTTCACGCATTTTTACACAAAAGACTATAGTTCACGCATTTTCACACAAAAGACTATAGATCACGCACTTTCATGCAAAAGACTAAAGTTCACGTATTTTCACACAAAAGACTATAGTTAACGCATTTTCATGCAAATAACTAAAGTTCACGCTTTTTTACAAAAAAGAATATAATACATTAATTATGTAAAGAATATAGTTGTAAAGACTATAGTTCACGCATTTTAAAGACTATAGTTCACGCATTTTCATGCAAAGACTATAGTTCACGCATTTTCATGCAAAAGTTTAATTCACGTATTTTCATGAAAAGACTATAGTTCACGCATTTTCATGCAAAGACTATAGTTCACGTATTTTCAGAAAAACTATAGTTCACGCATTTTGACAAAAGACTATAGTTCACGCATTTTCAGACAAAAATTATAGTTCACGCATTTTATGCAAAAGACTATAGTTCACGGATTTTCATGCAAAAGACTACCTTACTTGTATTAAAATTCGCGCAGTACTAGAATTCGCGCAGCGCTGAGTGCGCGAATTTTAGTACTGCGCGAAATAAAATCCGCGCGAAAAGCTTTGTAGTGTAATATGAGACATTCATTGTTGGTTATGCAAATCAGTTGTTTTATTAACGCACATACAAATTGACATATGTTTTAGTTGTCCTGGTAACATTAAAAATCAAAATGTCTTCATTTTCATCCTGTGCAATTTCAGTCGGGATATTCTCAGGTTCTACGTAGTATTCCGTCACGAATGCCTGCATTTTGCTGTATATCCTAAAACTTGCATTGTTCTGCATGACTGTTAGGGTAATAGGAATCTCCAAGCCTCCTTGTGGTAATGGGGATCGACGAAATTTGATGTCACACACACATGCTTCTATATTGCCCCATATTCAAAAAGAACTTGCAAAATCGGGAAATCTCTCGAGGCAAATGTCCGACCAGTGACAATGGTTCAATCTTGCCTCTGATTTTGCTAAACAGACCAATAGCATATGGGTCGAATAGGTTTCCTGATTCTGGTTTTATTATTAACTGCTGGTTGATTCTTGGAGCCCAGATTTTTCTGTATTCATGAAAACCTCGTGATGCGCAAGCCAGAGAAAACGATGTCCCTCGGGGCTCAGTTTCACTGAATTAGAATCATCCGTTCCTGAATCGTGGGTTTCCTGAAGCAAGCAATCAGATGCGTAATTTTCTTTCGCGTCGCACGCTTCACATAAAGCAACACTCGAACCACTTTTCCATCCAGGATAGTTTTCAGATGCAGGGATTGAACACTTGATTCCTCGGTTACAAACAAATGATTTGCATTTTAGACAAGTGTAATTTGTTAAATAATTGCACACGATGCAAATGCTTTCCATTTCTCCAACACAATAGTCAATGATGAGTCACGTTTCTTTAGGTTAATTATTAATAGTTCTTTTGAACAAACCAAAAAGAACGAGCACATTAAACTACTTGCGCGAATAATTGTCAACAAAGTGCGCGAAATTAAATCGCGCGAATTTAAAGCTGAGCGAAAATGAGTACGACTCGAATTTTAATACAAGTAAGGTATACTACTTCCAAAGCAACAGAACAAGAAAAGGAAAAATACAGAATTGGCATGACATCTTCAAACGAGATCCTTACGCACCATACAAACAAGTTGAGGACACAACAGACGATCAATATTTTAACTATAAAAACGTATCTTTCACACGTAGTAAACCAAAAAATGCTGTAGACATAAATGATTTCATTGCAAAAATAAATGGGTTATTCAATAAATTTATTGTTCTTCCATTACATCGTCTTCATCTAATTCATCAATACAAGTACACATTACATTTAAATCATCACAATCACAAAGTCTGTTTATTTTGGCGTAGTCTTTACATAACCCGCAACAATGCGTACCAGTAGGACTACGATTGATAAGAGCAAGGAGTTCGTCAACATCTTCCATCTCGTCTTGGGTGGAGGCATCGTCAAGCGTCTTCTGGAGTTCAAGAAGCGCTGAAATGTGTCCCTCAAAGATCCATTCTTTTCCCTCGGCTTTTTCGGTGTCTCCATTATCTCGTTCAGGATGGAGATCGGGAGATCTTGGTCCTGTGGAGTCTAGTCGGACACCGGGCGTGCTGCATTGACTACTGTGTTCGCTCTCGCTATCAGAATCTAGAAATTCCTCAATAACATGAGTCTCAACCTTCTCAGTATTAGTCTCAACAGTACATCTGTACTTTTAGGTCTAGCATTACAAGGTTGACAATCGTCATGTACACTTACGTCACCGTCCTCTACGTCATAGTTCTCATCGTCCATAATGTTAGCCTTGCGCTTCACCGTCCTTGAAGGACGGTTAGCTTCAAGGTATTTTTTCACGTTAAACTCAGTCAGTTCCATCTTCATTGCAAAGTGAAGCCAAACTAAAGGATTGATGTCACGTGTGCAACCTTTAAGAAGTTTGCATGTGTGTAAAGTGTAGAAGTACATCCGGTTATGCAAAGCGTTGTACTCCTCATTAACCCATCGCTCAGAGCGAGAGTTAGATGACGCAATCACCGGCGTGCGCGGAAGTTTTTGTGACGCCTTCATTTTAATGTCTACCTGCATCTCTGAGCCCTCAAACATACGCTTCATACTATCAACATTCTCTTTCGTAACTTGTATCTCTTCAAGGTTAACTGCCTGTTTATCAACACAGTTCATAAACATAAAAGTCTCTGATCGTGTGACGTTACCAACAGTACAAAACCCATTCAAAATACTACGAGCAAGAAGGGACTTGCCCGCATTACTCTCTCCATACAAAAACAAAGTGTTAATCTTCTTGTCACTCCTCATACACACACTAAATACATTATTAATGAAGTCGTCAGGGTCAATGTGATTAAACTTAAGTATCTTACGTAACCAATGTTGGCTTTCGTCAATGTCTAAGTACTTGCCGTCATACGTTTCTTTGTAGAGTAAGGGTTTCTGATATATCATGCTCTCTACCCAATCGAAATTTCTAAAGTGTTTAGCGAGATAACCAGTAGTAGCACGTTGGTGGTATTCCGACCGACCACATTGAAGGGTGCGTATGAGCATTTTACGTTGTTCTGAATCATGCTCCGGGTGAAGCATAAAAACTTTTTCTTGCTAATGGTCGAAGCTGTAACAACCGTCCGCAAGGATAGCATCCACTACAAACTGCAAATCAACTTTGCCAACTTCGGCTGTAATTTCTTCAACAGGAGCTTTGTCCTGTCCTTCTCGGTCACGACGATCAACATAATCTCCCATCCTGCGATAATGTTCATCTCCGATACTATCAAAATATTCTTCAACTTTAAAGTCTGGGCTGTAACATTTGTGCAACATCATCTTGAATACGTAAGACACGCACGTACGTTTTTTGCCTTGACATGGGCAAACATGCGAAACGAACCATCACGCGATGCCTGTTGAGGAGTATACTTGTTCGCCAAACGACGAAATGCACCTCAGACTCATATCATCCCAACGTTTGTTGCCATCCCAGCTAATGACGAAATGATAGTGGTCCCCAGCCACACCATGACAGCTTGTCCCGTCGGAGCAAGGATGGTAAAAAAGGACCCAAATGTATTCATCTTTGTTATTGTTAAGCCAATCCAATACATCTGATACAAAGCCCTTACTTGAAAAACAGACCAAAAGGTGAGAGTTCTTGAAAAAATCCGGCATAACTTTAGAGCTGGCGCAACCACTTCGGTACATCCAAACCGAAAGAGCATGTCCGATAAGGACGGCCGCTTATATAGACCACATATGACGTCCCTAAAGCTGATTGGTTGTTGATGATGTAATGCTATCACGTGACCTAGTACTGTTTCATCCTTCAGAATGCTGTAAACCACCAACGAAGGATAGGTCGGACTTCGTCCGACCTAGTATATATAGGGATAGACCTACCTGAAGATCGCCCTACGGCGTGAAACTCCAGTAGCGACAGTAAAACTTGTCCATTTTATTTCATTTTATCTTACGCTCTTCTAATATATAGGATATTGAGCGCTCTTTTATGCAGGAATATTCTTCATTAATAGGGATAGACCTATATATAATTTTATCCCAGAGCCATAACCCTTAGATGCCATAAAATACAAGTGTCCGCATCCTGCAGGACAACCAACTTGTGACGATGACCACTACCAAGAAAATTCAACCGTATTCAACTATTACAATGAAAACTTTTATCAAACAGAAACACGAACCCTGTCGGGTGTACAATCTTTTTCGTTTTGAATAGTTCGTCACAGCTACTCCGCAAAACTGCAGCGATAATGATAACAACTTTCGATTTTCTAAACTAAGAGCAAATTTTCATTTTAAAAGAATAAAATTAATTGTATTTAGTAACAACGAAAAAAAACGACGATTATTCACACATCAAATTAATTGATCGATCAAACTCTGTTGGCTCTAAATTACTGTTCGTACAGATCAAGTGAGGATCATTTCTTAACTTATATAACTTGAGTTAATAATTGCAGCAAAAGTATATTTTTTATGCAAAGACTATAATTCACGCGATTAATTTTAGCTTGCACTGTTTAAGATATTTATACTTAATCCCTTGTCTCGTGTTATGATAAAAGTAAAAATAACTCTGGCGATTTTCGGACACAGTTCAATGTATATATAAATTATAATAAGCTACATTATATAAAAGTTTTAGAAAACAAACCATACACCAGAAGTTATAAAAGAACTTTGAACGCATGAAGAAGACCGCACCTGTTTTTTATAGTTGCCTTTTTGAATTGTATTGCATGCAACTTATTTAATCGTGAAATGATGTTTCTGCTTCTCACAAGAAAATATCTGTACGACATTGTTGAATAAATACATCAATATCCAAACATACAAGAATACAAGAAATTGTACTCTACCTGATCTTTTGGGTGAATTTAACCTCTTATAGTCCACCATTTCAAGCTCGAGTATATCGCAACGTGTATCTTCAAGGCCTCCAGAGACAATGGTGATACTATCACTTGAATGTGTCCCATGGGCAGCAGAACCATTACGAATCTCACAACACATACTAAACTGCAAAACAACAATCCAGCCATATCCACCAATTTCGTTATCATTACACAAAAAGACACGCGTTATGCTACAATAGAAAAACAGAATTGTACTCAAAGCAGGAAATAAAGAGGAAACAACACTTGTGAAACATGGTCGTCAATTAATGCTAATTTCGAACAATTAATGTTCAATTACATATCCGAATTATCATAAATATTTACATAACAATATAACATTAACAAACACTAACGTAAGATTACTAAAATACAAAAGTTCATTTGTAGTGAATACGATATTCATAGTCACAGAGAATTTCATTTCCTCAGTTTCCTGGTGTGCACACACGCACGTTTAACTGTGGTTTATGAAAAGTGAGATAATTTTGTGGCGTCTGATTTTGGGAGACTGCACCGAGTTTATTATTATTACATTCAATAAAATTAAATCATATAAAGACGATGTCGAATACACATGAGCATATAAGGAATTCAGGAGCCTCACAGAGAGATGGAGTTATTAACTTATTTCAACAGACGTTTGCAACGAAATTTAGTATTGTTTAAACACGATGCCAATGCTTGCCACGATTGCCAACGATTCAAGAGTTATTATGAAAACATTGCAAAATTGAATTTATAGTGCTTTCATTTGTGTCCAAACTCAGGCATGTAGCCAGAAGGATAAATGGGGGGGGGGAGGTATATTCATACATACATTTTATAATCCGTAAAAAACAATGGATTTCAAAAGAAACTAATACGGCATGTCGTGCATCTATGAATTTGGGCCCCTACAATTATCGAACGCCTGTCCAAACTTTTTCAAAAAAATTTACAGTTTAGTGAACAAAGAATTGTAATGAAGTCTGTACCACACAAGTTGACAGTCGATATATTCAAAAGAAATGATTGATGTTGCTGCCAAAAGATGCTGACAACGTCAATATGGTATTTCTGAATACAAATCAGCCAGTCTTCATTTTCAATTGGTTGTGATGCAGTAATGAGAATTCAAGAATGCTGTAGATTAACCCGTTGAATTTTTTACAGATCCATTAACTAGCTTGTAGCCGAACAAGAAAGTAGCGTTCTCAAGTAAGCTTGTTCTCCTGTAGACACGCTCAACGATCATTCAGCGACAAAAGCAAAAAAGAAGTGTCTTGGTTCCGTAAAGGTATGTTACAATTTATACCACTTTATAAATGAAATAGTGATGAAAACATATAAAATATCATATCCAATTATCATATAATTTGACTTGAAATAGACACATCTACATATTTTAAACATTATAAACGTAGTTTTGAGCATGCAAGTTGCCACGCAGTCTGTATTTTGGAGAATTGGCCTTCTATGTTCCAGCTTTTTCATAAACAAGATTAGTCTTTACACTGTTCAAGCATTGACGTGCCAAACTGCTTCAAAGTTTTTATGAATCATGTTCGTATGAGCAAAAATTAATATTTGAAATATGTCATTGTTTCAGAGAAAAAAAACAATATATAGAAAAATGAATGAACAGAAAAACGAACCAGAACAGGAAAACGAACCAGAACAGGAAAACGAACCAGAACAGGAAAACGAACCAGAACAGGAAAAGGAACCAGAACCGGAAAAGGAACCAGAACCGGAAAACGAACCACAGCAGCAACCAGGATTACTTGGATTTCCTAATATGCTCCAATATCCCTATCCAAGTAGAAGGCCAATACCATCAAACATAGAATTGCTCAAAGGATATTTCCAAGAGAAGATGTCTTAAATCTACAACGGATACTGTATGGTTGCTCTGGTGTTCTCATACACGCCATCAAGGTTATTGATAGGGCAACGAGAGCGAACTTGTTACGTTCAACAATGGCAAGAAACAGCAATGAGGCATCGCAACCCAATGGAGAGCAAGCTGGGATGGTTAATGGAATGCAGAATGGAATGCACACTGACAGCGAAATGCCCAGTGGATCAGAGGTAACACAATCACCAAGCTCTAATGACCAAGAAACATGGTATATTTGTACCGTTTGTCTCCACATAAACAATGATACCACAAGATGTGAGAAGTGTCAAAGCATAAGAAAGAGAAGTTTAGGTAGATGATATAGCAGAAATATCCAAGACAATCAACATGTTATTCAACTTGATTATGTTCCTTTATGCATGAATATATTATAGTTTAATATATTTAATATATATTTCAACATAATTAATTTAATATGGTAATTTATTTCTGTAATTTATTTTACTATACTTTATATTGTTAACATATTTTTATCTTCATTGAAAAATATCTCACCGGAATTTGTTATTTAGTGTCATAATTTACAATTTAGATGCAATTCAGGACTTTTTAAATAAAATCCAACATGTTGTTTATAATTTTGCATTTGCTGAAAGAATTTTTACATTATATTAGTGACAATGTTCACAAGAAGTTTTGTTTAATCAGTAGTTATGTCACTTTTTCTGCACTTCTTAACATGAGAACGTTCAACATTTACATGAAAGAAAAACCAAAACATGCATAGTCTAATTTTTGGCAAAAGAATTTAATAAATTCAGTGGGAGCTTCAATTATATTGACGATTGGATCAACAGCTGCGTAGCATGAAAGTTTTAATTGGGGGTGTACACTGTGTGCAAATTTACCAAAAAAACATGGTATTCCCAGTGGGTATTGTTCATGCATTTTCATGCAAAAGACTATAGTTCACACATTTTCATGCAAAAGGCTACAGTTCACGCATTTTTATGCAAAAGACTATAGTTCACGTATTTTCATGCAAAAGACTATAGTTCACGTATTTTCATGCAAAAGACTATAGTTCACGCATTTTTATGCAAAAGACTGTAGTTCATGCACTTTCATGTAAAAGACTATAGTTCAACATTTTTCACACAAAAGACTATATTTAACGCATTTTCATACAAAAGACTATAGTTGACGTATTTTCACACAAAAGACTATAGTTCACGTATTTTCATGCAAAAGACTATAGTTCAGGCATTTTCATGTAATAGACTATAGTTCATGCATTTTTAAACATTTTCATATAAAGACTGTAATTCATTCATTTTTTCACATTTTCATTTAAAGACTATATAAATCATGCATTTTTACACATTTTCATGCAAAGACTATAGTTCATACGTTTTTACACATTTTAATGTAGACTATAAATTATAAATTATGACACAATTTCATGCAAAAACTATAATTTACGCGTTTTCAATAAGTTTCATGCAAAGACTATAATTATGCATTATGCATCTTTACACATTTTATAGAAAAGACTATAATTCATGCATTTTTACACATTTTCATGCGGAGTATAATTCATGCATTTTTACACATTTTCATGCAGACACACATTCATGCATTTTCACATATTTCTATGCAAAGACTATAATTCACGCATTTTGTGTGCAAGACGGTGGTTCACTAATTGTCATGCAAAGGGTAATAGTTTACGCATCCCTACGCATATTTCTAAAAAAGGACTATAATTCAATGTAGTCATGTGATTATGTTTGATAATCATGTAATCAATCAAAAAATAAAACAATGGAAGGTAGAGTTTCAAGGTACTTCTTTTCAATGGGTTGACTACAAAATTTTATGCTTACTTATCAAGACAACTAGTGAAATTACATCAGGTTTTTATTATCGTAAATTCTCTATCAACTTTACTGACCTGGGCAACAACCGAACCTAGCATCGCAAGTTTGGAAGGCAACGTGTGACACCAATTCGCCACTCAAGCCTTGCGATTTTAATGTATATAATACTGTAAAACCATTTATGAAATAACAAAATGATAATTAAAAGCAAGACCCTGACGATGACCACTACCAAGAAAATTTAACCGTATTCAACTTTTACTCAATGAAAACTTTTATCAAACAGAAACAAGAGCCCTGTCGGGTGTATAATCTTTTTCGTTTTGAATAGTTCGTCACAGCTACTCCGCAAAACTGCAGCGATAATGATAACAACTTTCGATTTTCTAAACTAAGAGCAAATTTTCATTTTAAAAGAATAAAATTAATTGTATTTAGTAACAACGAAAAAAACGACGATTATTCACACATCAAATTAATTGATCGATCAAACTCTGTTGGCTCTAAATTACTGTTCGTACAGATCAAGTGAGGATCATTTCTTAACTTATATAACTAGAGTTAATAATTGCAGCAAAAGTATATTTTTTATGCAAAGACTATAATTCACGCGATTAATTTTAGCTTGCACTGTTTAAGATATTTATACTTAATCCCTTGTCTCGTGTTATGATAAAAGTAAAAATAACTCTGGCGATTTTCGGACACAGTTCAATGTATATATAAATTATAATAAGCTACATTATATAAAAGTTTTAGAAAACAAACCATACACCAGAAGTTATAAAAGAACTTTGAACGCATGAAGAAGACCGCACCTGTTTTTTATAGTTGCCTTTTTGAATTGTATTGCATGCAACTTATTTAATCGTGAAATGATGTTTCTGCTTCTCACAAGAAAATATCTGTACGACATTGTTGAATAAATACATCAATATCCAAACATACAAGAATACAAGAAATTGTACTCTACCTGATCTTTTGGGTGAATTTAACCTCTTATAGTCCACCATTTCAAGCTCGAGTATATCGCAACGTGTATCTTCAAGGCCTCCAGAGACAATGGTGATACTATCACTTGAATGTGTCCCATGGGCAGCAGAACCATTACGAATCTCACAACACATACTAAACTGCAAAACAACAATCCAGCCATATCCACCAATTTCGTTATCATTACACAAAAAGACACGCGTTATGCTACAATAGAAAAACAGAATTGTACTCAAAGCAGGAAATAAAGAGGAAACAACACTTGTGAAACATGGTCGTCAATTAATGCTAATTTCGAACAATTAATGTTCAATTACATATCCGAATTATCATAAATATTTACATAACAATATAACATTAACAAACACTAACGTAAGATTACTAAAATACAAAAGTTCATTTGTAGTGAATACGATATTCATACTCACAGAGAGAATTTCATTTCCTCAGTTTCCTGGTGTGCACACACGCACGTTTAACGGTGGTTTATGAAAAGTGAGATAATTTTTGTGGCATCTGATTTTTGGGAGACCGCACCCAGTTTATTATTATTACATTCAATAAAATTAAATCGTATAAAGACGATGTCGAATACACATGAGCATATAAGGAATTCGGGAGCCTCACAGAGAGATGGAGTTATTAACTTATTTCAACAGACGTTTGCAACGAAATTTAGTATTGTTTAAACACGATGCCAATGCTTGCCACGATTGCCAACGATTCAAGAGTTATGAAAACATTGCAAAATTGAATTTATAGTGCTTTCATTTGTGTCCAAACTCAGGCATGTAGCCAGAACGATAAATGGGAGGAGGTATATTCATATATACATTTTATAATCCGTAAAAAACAATGGATTTCAAAAGAAACTAATACGGCATGTCGTGCATCTATGAATTTGGGTCCCTACAATTATCGAACGCCTGTCCAAACTTTTTCAAAATAATTTACAGTTTAATGAACAAAGAATTGTAATGAAGTATGTACCACACAAGTTGACAGTCGATATATTCAAAAGAAATGATTGATGTTGCTGCCAAAAGATGCTGACGACGTCAATATGGCATTTCTGAATACAAATCAGCCAGTCTTCATTTTCAATTGGTTGTGATGCAGTAATGAGAATTCAAGAATGCTGTAGATTAACCCGTTGAATTTTTTACAGATCCATTAACTAACTTGTAGCCGAACAAGAAAGTAGCGTTCTCAAGTAAGCCTGTTCTCCTGTAGACACGCTCAACGATCATTCAGCGACAAAAGCAAAAACGAAGTGTCTTGGTTCCGTAAAGGTATGCTACAATTTATACCACCTTATAAATGAAATAGTGATGAAAACATATAAAATATCATATCCAATTATCATATAATTTGACTTGAAATAGACACATCAATATATCTTAAACATTATAAACGTAGTTTTGAGCATGCAAGTTGCCACGCAGGCTGTAATTTGGAGAATTGCCCTTCTATGTTCCAGCTTTTTCATAAACAAGATTAATCTTTAAACTGTTCAAGCATTGAGGTGCCAAACTACTTCAAAGTTTTTATGAATCATGTTCGTATGAGCAAAAATTAATATTTGAAATATGTCATTGTTTCAAAGAAAAAAAACAATATATAGAAAAATGAATGAACAGAAAAACGAACCAGAACAGAAAAACGAACCAGAACAGAAAAACGAACCAGAACAGGAAAACGAACCAGAACAGGAAAACGAACCAGAACAGGAAAACGAACCAGAACCGGAAAAGGAACCAGAACCAGAAAACGAACCACAGCAGCAACCAGGATTAGTTGGATTTCCTAATATGCTCCCATATCCTTATCCAAGTAGAAGGCCAATACCATCAAACATAGAATTGCTCAAAAGGATATTTCCAGAAGAAGATGTCTTAAATCTACAGCAGTTACTGTATGATTGCTCTGGTAACCTCTTACACGCCATGCAGTTTATTGATAGGTCAAGGGCAATGAGAAGGAACTTGTTACATTCAACAATGGGAAGAAACAGCAATGAGGCATTGCAACCCAATAGAGAGCAAGCTGGGATGGTTAATGGAATGCAGAATGGAATGCACACTGACAGCGAAATGCACAGTGGATCAGAGGTAACACAATCACCAAGCTCTAATGACCGAGAAACATGGTATATTTGTACCATTTGTCTCCACATAAACAATGCTACCACAAGATGTGAGAAGTGTCAAAGCATAAGAAAGAGAAGTTTAAGTAGATGATATAGCAGAAATATCCAAGACAATCAACATGTTATTCAACTTGATTATGTTCCTTTATTAATGAATATATTATAGTTTAATATATTTAATATATATTGCAATATAATTAATTTAATATGGTTAATTTATTTCTATACTTTATTTTACTATACTTTATATTGTTAACATATTTTTTATCTTCATTGAAAAATATCTCACCGGAATTTGTTATTTAGTGTCATAATTTACAATTTAGATGCAATTCAGGACTTTTTAAATAAAATCCAACATGTTGTTTATAATTTTGCATTTGCTGAAAAAATTTTTACATTTTATTAGTGACAATGTTCACAAGAAGTTTTGTTTAATCATTGGTTATGTCTCTTTTTCTGCACTTCTTAACATGACAATGTTCAACATTTCCATGAAAGAAAAACCAAAACATGCATAGTCTAATTTTAGACAAAAGAACTTAATAAATGCAGTGGGAGCTTCAATTATATTGACAATTGGATTGACAGCTTCGTAGCATGAAAGTTTTAATTGGGGGTGTACACTGTGTGCAAATTTTACCAAAAAAACATGGTATTCCCAGTGGGTACCCATTTTGTGAAATACTATACTCAGTTGGTTTAACATCAATGAATGGATTAGGTACGAAAACTTAGTGTGGGAAAATAGTGAATGTTGTGCTATGTTTCTTCCACACAATACTGTAGGATTGTTTCTTTTCTAAACAATGTTTGTTTGCATTTTCATGTTCCTAAGTTGCTTTTCAATTTCCTAGCTTGTGAGTGTAACCCATATTGTAAACAATAGAGGAAAGTTCACCAAAAATTCAAATGAGATTTAGAAAATTATTATCATGGTGGGAAAACTGGGAAAATTAACTACTTCATGAGTTCTGATCATCTTGTTTGTTAAAAGTAAATAGCCTCATTGGCCATTTTCTTTTAATATTTAATTGCTCGCATGATTTTCAATAGCATAAATTGTCTAAATTACAAGCACATTTAGCTAGTTCAGAATAGCAAAACCAAACACTAATTATGTCTAGATATTAGAGGCATACCGAATATCTGCTACTGCCCAGGCTGTAAAACCATACTTTAAAAAAAGTTGAAAGTATAACAATAATAAAATTATTTTCTCACAATTCACATGTTCTCCATGCATGTCTAAACATGTTTTTTTTTCTGCTGTGACTTTGGAAATAGTCTGAAAATATTCAAAATTAAATCACTTGTAACTTTAGCCATCAATAATTCAAATGGCATGACCATACTGGGATCTTTTAGTTACTGTTTGAAACCATGAATTTATGAAGAGCAATTCCAAAAAAATATTCATTCATATTTCATGTAAATTTCAAGATTTATCAAGTGCAAATAGCACCAAAGTTTACAACTAAGTTATGTCGTAAAAGTATGATCAATACGTTATATATACTCATACAATTTTATAACTAATGTTGACTTTCTTCCCTTACCCGAAGCCCACTTGGTTGTTTAGCTTTTGCATTAAATATCAGAACATTTCTATTTTCAAAGGTTTGAGTTTGCTTCATGTTGAAGTGAAAGCTCTGTTCATATATGCCTGTAAAAACATGTTATTCAATGTCATTAACATTTAAGAAAAATGCTGAATTTGTAGGTGTCTGGACACTTCTTGTTTAGAAAGAAGCCAGTGTCATAACCAGCATCGATAATTTGGGGGGTGGGGGTGGTGGGGGGTGGGGTTGAGGGCATCATTCATGTTATAATCCCCAGAAAACAATCAATTTCAAAGAAGCTTAATACTCCAAAACATGAATATATGAATATCGGTCCCCATATATTGAGCTGGCTATGCTTAAATACAGGTAAAACTTAAGTCCCCAAACAACATAGAACCACAAAATTTTTTGCAACATGCTGCACTATTTCACCATATATCACCAGGAAGTTGGAAAAGAATTGAAATTCTGTTGGTGATCGTATTGCATACCTGAAATTTTAGCAGATAGTTTCCACTAATTCCAATTATTACCAATTGCGTTCAACTGGTAACTGTTCCGAATTTTTCGCGTTTGTTTAGGTTTCAAACGTCACGTTTGTCAGACGAAACGTCGGGTTTCAACTGGTAAACGTTACGTTTGTTCAAATCGCGGATTTCTAAGTTTGCAACAGCTCTTTCTTATATTATATGGTCAATTATCAAACTTTGCAAATCGCCTAAGGTATACAGATGTAATTTTCAGTTGCTACAGCATTTTATCATTGTAAAATCGTATAAACATGTTAATCACATGACCAAAACCTGTTCAAAATGTTCCTCAAAACGTTACACATTCAATGAGATAATGGTATGGCAATATTTTAAAACACAGTCAGGCCAGTTGGCGAAAATCTTCGGTTTGGCAAAGAACAATGAAGGTTTTCTGGTAAGTTTTCCTGAAAGGTTCCCAGCCATTTTTACTTGTATTAAGCAGTTAATAAATCTACTTCAAAACCCTTGAAAAATTAGTCACTATTTCAAGCACCTAAAGAAGCAGATACGTCTTAAAATACGAATGCTATCAAACTTTATTTTTCCTTACCTATAATGCTGAAGAAAAGATCGAATTTTAATTTATTTAGTATGTCTTTCTGGAGTTTTATGTCAATAAAATGTGGAATTTGGCATTTACCATCTTGAGGGACTTAATTCTATATTTTACATTGGTGTGTCATTTGATAGCAAAAGAAGTTTCGGGGGGGGGGGTTGCACTGGAAAACACCCCTTAGAATAATAAAATTGGCATTTTGTGACGTTATTATCAAATTGACCCATCTTAGTTTTAATGACAAGAGTTCAGTTATGGCTAGATTTAGGATGGATTATATAGTGTCAGGTTTTGGATTATATAGTGTCAGGTTTTGGATTAGATTTGGGATTTGGGTTGTTAGTTCAGGTTGAAACTGTGTTGAATTTACTAAATATGACTTGTAGCTTTTGTAAACGATTTGAGATCCAAACCAATCTGAATTATAAGGATTTTCCTACAATTCATTTATAATTTCACACCTCTAATTATTTGTGATGTTGAATTCTAAGTCCATAATTAAATCACTCCTTTAAGTGGTTATGAAATGAAATTTCATGGTTTCATATTTTCATCTAATTGCATTATGTAAACCTTGAAAAGTGTCCAATAAAAATTTTAACGGATAAAAACAATTCTTTGGGATAGAAAATCTCATTTAAAAATGACACCGTCACACTAAAATTGTCAGCCATTTTGTGCCCCAAACAATTTCATCCATAGGAGTTATGAAAAAAGCTAAATGCTCATCATACTCAATGCATTCTAAACTTTTGATTCATACCAAATATAATTAGGTGAATTTCGTTTCATAAGCACTTTAAGTTTGGATTTGCATTAATATCTCATAGCATTCTCAAATAATAAAATAGTTTTTTAAAGTACACAAACTATTTTGCCATATATATATAATGTATTATATTTTAACCAAAGTTTTCCCTAATGTCAACTGAATTCTTAATAAAATTAATTGCTCAACATTGAAAAGTTTTTGAAAAAGTTAATATGAATGTATGAAATTCATTAATTGGAGTTTAAAAATATTTGAGGCGAAAAACTTATTTCAAACAAGCAAAGTACTACTGAGAATTTTAACTTAACTTTGTCGTGCAGATTTAATGATTGTGATTTATAATATTGGACAAAAATGTTTGTTTTGCTAATGAATTTTTGAGAATCCATAAATTCTTCGTTGTTCTGAACATCTTAGGACAACATAACTCACACAGTCATACTTGCAAAAAACAATTACCTAAGAAAGTTGAATCGTTAATGGGATACTACTTCAAGAATTTCTTGTGTTCCTATTGAAATTGCGATAATTTCAATCAAATCCTGAGTCACGTTTTTTTAAAAATCATTTCGACGCAGTTTGCTCAGTGCATTGACTTCTATAAGTGAGAATAAAGATTGTGTTCGGATTAACTGACTAAAGAATTCTAAAGCCAAACTTATGCGATTATATGCACTTTCAACTACTTTATAATGTAGTGTTTCATAAAAATATGAATTTGTAAAATTTCGTAGTATGCAAAATGACATAATTTCGTATATTAACATGTTTATCATGATTTTATTGTGTGTGCAACAGTTTAGCATAAGGTACATGTCAGACGCTCTCAGTAATGTAAATCATATAGTTTTGTTTCGTATCGGCACCATTGAAAGCAAGAATTCAAAATAAACGACGTTATTTTCTAACTTCTTAATTGCATACAATGGCAACTTTAGTACAGAATGAATTATATCTGTGTAATGAAAAATAATGCGTATGTTAGCCTTGTTAGGTTGTATCGAAGAGATAAAGTTCTTATAAACCACTCTAGAGTCACTGGGCTCAAAAAGATTGCCTTGGGCGTTTGATAATTAAATCTAACAAAGATAATTGATCGGCGAAGAGGTATATGAATGCTCGGAAACCATGTAGGCTTAATTTGTTTTATGTGGGAGTTTTTTGTCAAGTATTTCACATTGAAAGTAGTTTTCACTACCGTAATACATAATACTATACACTTTCGAGGTAAATGGTTCTTGGGTGAATCATTAATATGAAATATGACAGATTATGTTAGATTTAGTAGATGCAAGTTGATTTTAAAATACCAATTAACTCAAAAGCGACAGCTATGTTCTTGAAGAATTAATCGTTTTTCCTCAAATGTTTTCTATTGACTTGTTGCTTTCCCAGAAATCATTGCATGTTTACCGTACTGAAACGAGAAGCTTGCATTTTCTATACTTAAAGACGAATATATAAGTATTCATTCAGGAATGTGCGGAATAATTTACTGTTGCACTGCAACTGCATGAGGAAGTGTTTTACCAACAAGAAATTTTTGTTCGAAACAAATTCGTGCTTGTTATCGATGTTAAAGCGGAAACTTGACTTAATGAAATTCGCCTCCAAACATTTATCAAAGTAAGTTTTTTGTATGAATACACATATTGTATGGAATAAGTTAGTAACGAAGCTGCAGTGTCATGACAGATTTTGTACCTAGTGTTTTTGGAGATGTTTTTTTTATTGCAGTGTTTATGTTTTATTGGTGTTAAATTCACCCGCTTATCGATGTATTTCCAAAGATTATTGGGAGTAATTTTCTTTAAGTACCCTTCGTTCTTGCTGTAGATACACAATCTATACATTGCTTGAGTATATGACAAATCCACTAATAAAGATATTGACAAAGTATGGCTGAAGAAGTAGACGCGCAGTTAATTATTAGGTGCCTCAGCTTTTTAAGAATAGGAACAGTCAGTTTTTGTCGAACGCTTATTAATCCATTTATCCGTTTTTAGTTGTTGACGATTCTCGAATTCATAAATTTAACGTATTTTAATATGCGGTTTTTTTAATAACATTTGGCTAATCCTTTTTATGTGATCTTTGAAAACTGTTAAACAGCACACTGCGTGTGGTCCAACATATCCGGGCTGCGAAAAAAAAAACATGGAGTGTACAGGAATGTTCATGCAACATAAGGCAAGCTGGTGAGATACATACAGAAAGAATGCATTATGAAAAATAGAAAATTGATTTTTAACTTATCACCCAATGACTTTATGAATGCAACTAAATTTATTTTGTATTTCTAACCAAACTCTTTCATTTATTGTACATTTCGAAGCATATATGACTTGAAAAGAAATTACTGAAACAAAGTAGTATAGTAAACTATGAAGTTATTTACAACAATACACATGATGATAACTTATTTTAACTCTTCTAAATGCACTCGGATTTATTTCTTTTTTATTGAAGGCAGACGCTGTATTATAATTGATTATCCAAACGAAGCGACGACGATCATAAAATGAATGCTTATTGTTTCCTGTTTTCTGAACTTACAAATGACTCAGAATTACAATTTTTTCTCAAATCTGTACGAGTTCTTTCTATATGTTTATGATGTATCCTCATAAACATTTATTTAAGTTTTTTCTGAGCACTTTAACGATTTTATAGTTATATGTAGAATTTTTGAATTTCATATATATTATATCGTATAAAATTGCATACAGTAGACTATTAAAGGATTAAAAATGACTGCCTTTTAAATGGCGAATGGCGAAGTTTTCCCATGTTGATGTCTTTAATAACACCGTTTCATAATTCATATTTCACGAAATTCAGCGTGGCGTATTTTATAATTTTTGAACAACAAAGGAGTATAACCATGTATAACTATGTAAAATTTTCTCGCCTTTTCTCGACTGTTTTTAAAAATCTTTGATATTTTTGCTGCAGACGTATTTGGAAATGGTTATCGGATTAAAAGGCTAATAATGTGTTAACCAAATATTAAACTGCACTAGAATTACCGCGAAATCGTGACGAAGAGAGTCTCCGTAGTTGTGTTCCCCCATTAAATGAGGAAACAAAACTTGATCGTCGTCATGTCTATTTTGAAAAACCCTTCTATCCTTTATTTCACTGTTTTACATAGGCGATGATCAATTTCTACAAGAAATTCGTCTTAAACATACTTGACATCATATATACATGCAGCCTTTAGGGCATTGTACGAGACAGTTCGTAACATCAAGTTTTACACTTCCGGCCTTCAAACATGTTATTTAAAGTGAGACCTTTGTTCTTGTCTTTCAGAAACAAGTTTGTTGGAAGAGAGCATCTCAAGGGACTTGTTTAACCCGGGAGCTTTATTATTAAGGTATTTATATTTCATTTCTTATATTCATAAACGAGAGATCCTTTTAGATTTTCCTCTCAATTTTATGTTCGCGATTTTAAGACTTTTGAAAAAGAATTGCATTTTGTATTGTGACGTTTCACCTCAGTAGACTAGGGATTTTATAAATGTTTCTGCAGGAGTCGATTGTCATAGCGATTCAGAAAGTTAAATTAAGTTAATATTAAAAGATGAATTATTGCAGGTCTTACATAGCTATAACACAAAATATATCGTTAGTTACCTTTAATTACATAGATACAAATGCATGAAATGACTGACCATAGTTCTATGGTCAAATGTATAGTCTTATAGCTTACTGAACGCTGTGGTTTTAACTATGTATACATGTTTACGTAAGCCAACAATCAATCGAACCTTTTTTCATAAATTTTCATACACAAAAGAAATTTATAATTATAATATGTGAATATGTTTGTCATGTACATTGTTTCATTTTCCTCAATAAATAGTTTCATGTGTTCTTTAAACGTCTTTTGATACATCTAAGAATTTCAGAAATTGAACATTTTTAAATAGAATGGATAGATTTTTTGTTCCTTTGGTTCAATTTGTGCGGACATGGAATGAGAAAAATGCTCTTGGAACACCATTAATGTCGAATCATGTCTCTTAATTTGTAAAATCACCTTTTCTGCCGTTAGAATTTCAATATATGCAGATCGTATAAGATAAAGTGTACTTTCTTTAATTTCACATACTTGCATTGATTCTGTTCACTGTCTGTTTAGCAAAATTCTTTTTCATTTTTTCAAAAACTTACTACTAGGATTCCTTTTTTGCAATAAGTTTTATTGATATTAAGTCCAGAAAGCATTTTGTATTTGAATTATCGCCAAATTCTCTGTTTGATGACACGCAATTATGTCACGATTCAACGCAAGTCAGACAAACACACTTTAAAGTATTGCATCATTTATGATTGGATTGATGTATATTTTCTAAACGAGACAGATAAAATGGACTTAAAACTTGAATGAAAGGCAGCTATAGCTTCACTGGTTTAAAAGACATTGTTAAATATCATTCTCTGTCGTCGTATAAAATATAAATTTATAATAAATGAACTGATCAATACGACAACACAATAAATTGTTATGGACTATAAGGATGTGGGTGTGGTATAATAATTTCAAGTATTCAATTGTCTCGATGGGTTAAATTTCTTAACAGCAAAATTAATGGCCGTCGTAAATGCTTGAAAGTATATAAATTATTTTTTATTTGTGTGAATACAATGCATTATTATTTCTTTGCAACTTTCGTAGAGCAACGAGAATGCGGAATTTACGACATAAAATAACGTACTTCCTCTAATACACGCCGCATCAAAGTCTTCAAAAGTAAATAATCTCTTCTTATCCGAGATGTGTTAGGGCTAGTGCGGTATGCTATAACCAAAGGCTAACATTTAGTAATTAATGGTTGTCACGAAAGCAAAGTTACCATCAGCCAGAAATAGTGAAATGTTAAAGAGTTCTCAAGTGTAAAAATTAAAACATTGTCGCCTTTTGTTGAAAAGTACTTTTTAAACAATTTTCGTAGTTTTTGACTCTAAATAAAAGTTTTGAAAATGATTTCTCTTGAGGAATGAAAAAGTTGTCACTTGGTAATGACTTCATTTTAACAACAACCTCGCTGTTTTCTCCCGTCATTAAATTAAAATGCTACTATTGATATACAGGTCAGTGATCTTTCCTCTAGAAAATCGAAATAAAGAGATACTTGGGAAAAGTAAAGAAAACCTTCGTATTGTTTTAATGTCTGGCATATGTAATTCACCTGGTTTATTTAACCCCTCTTGTTCATGTAATCCCCCTGTTCCAAAACTAACCTCCCTGTGTAGATGCACATTATATCATATGATAAATCAATTACATGATGTTTTCTGTGGCTTCGAGATTTAATACGATTTATTTAAGTGACTCTCCTGACTTTATTTTAACTATTTATGTATATTGAAACGAAGCAGAGTGTTGTGTTCATGATTTTGCAAGCCGAGCTTAAACAGTATTTATTGTATGTTAGATATATTTAACGATTTGTTTGTAAATAGAAATCAATTTTTGTTCAGATTTAAAAGGCTCGTTCAGTTTTCGTATATTTATCGGTTATTGTACGAGTTCTATATTCAGTAAAGATAGAGGCTAGTTTTTTTTCTTCTCCGTGTGTACAAGGGTGGATCCAGGTGGATAATGAATGGTATGTGTGTGGATAATGTATATAAATAGCGATTAAATAATACCGAAAATGTAAGAATATTTTCATCATTCTTTACCGTTGGCTGTTGTATTCAAAGAAGATGGTAAATAATCTTCACCAAGAATTATGAAATATCTACATTAATGTTTCTCTGTGTAGCATATTTCGTTACAAGTTGACGACATTTAATGTTTTTATCTAATCTTTTTTGATATCAAGGAAACTACATATTATAATTAAATATTTGACATTTAAAAACAAGGTTGTTCAAGGTATTATGCAAGTCATTGTAATAGAATTTTAATCTTACTTATATTTGCTGTTGTTGTTGTTGAATTTTATTTTACTTACCTTTATCAGGATGTTATGTCATTTCCGTAATTAAATAATTGTTGGATGTGAAAATCTGAAGATCTACTTCATCATGTTTTATCACTTTATCACCATGATATTACATGAATAAAAAGACCAAATGACCTGAACATTAGTTTTGTTACAGCCATTTATCCTGACTGTAGTTGTTGTTTCTGTCGGCTCAATAAAGATAAAGGCAAATTGAGATAGTTTTGCAATTTTTAGATTTCGTTTTTGTTATATTTAATTACTTCATCCAAGTTGTAACTGTATAGGTCTTTATGCTGTACTTGGAACACGTGATTGTTAGAAATAGAGGATGAGAGTGCATTTAACCATTTAACCATATTAATCATTAAATAGTTGTTGCTTGATATTTATGAAAAAAACTTCATTCTGTCGATTTATGATTTATGATTTCAATTAAACTAATCAGAAATCTCTTTCCTTTATTTTATGCTAGTTCGTACCATATGAATATAGTATCTTTGCAGTGAACATTATTCAATTTACTTAATCTCCGCATGAAGGGAGAATGCATAAAGGGGAAAGTGTAAAAAAAATCATTTAAAGAAATTTGTATCTCTTACTACAATAATGAATCTTAGTTGTTTGAACATTACAATATTTGAAAGTCACAAAATAATTAGTGTTACTATAGAATGATATGACATAAAATCCTTAATAATAATCTTTATCATCATCATTACACCTCAAATATGTTGATTGTGTTATAAGAAAATATTCCTATGTGTGTTTTGAGCGGTTTTGTGGGTTTTTTTTGTAGTCTTGTGGTAAACGTAATCTGCCTTATTTATGAAGTACAACATGAATAAAAGTGAACACGAGTTGATTGATTTTTTGGGATATCTTTTCAACCATAAATTGCTAAAGACATTTACTGATTTTTGCATGTTATCAAAATTGTGAAAGTAACTCCTTGTAATGTACAATGTTCAATATTAAAATGTAAAAAATTCTTATGAGTGTATAGATTTTAAGAAATTTTTATTAAGGGTCTGTTGAGAGCATGAATACAAAGCCAGGAAATATTTTTAATTTCAGTTGTTGTAGATAAGTGTTCTTCTTTCGTTAGAAATAAAGGAAATGATTGTAATATGTGCATATGATCTTTGCATATGTTGGCGTTATGCCAGTATTGTTATTAAATGTATGACGAAAGTTGCATGATTAAAATCTACGTGTTGTTAGTTTCTAGATTGTGTTGAAGAAGTTAACACCATTTACTCGATGTTAAAAATCTTTATCAGGCTATGTCAATTTACTAAATGAAAATCTAGTGTAGCTATATTTTGCCTCTTAAGTCGAGTTTTTTGAACATGTCCAACCAAGATTATCAGTGATTCAATAGGAAAATACCTCATTCTGACATAAAAAAAAATGGTACCCACTTTTCACATAATATATGTGCCAGACAGGTTATTTATCTCCACACCATTTAGCTATTGAAAGATTAAATTTGCGGTATTTATTATGTTTTATTTTTGAATTCATGCCATTTAACAATAGAACACACAAGTGTTTATTTCAACATCTTACATTTTAAAGATTTGAGATAAATCACTGCGATGTTACAGGTTATTATCGTTCTTTTATGAAGAGATAATGATTTCGATGTTCGCATAGTTTACTGTGTATTTATTTTTTGTTTATTTCTTAGATCCATTTGTTGATGGTAGTTTTTATTTTGTGGTCAGTTTTGTTAGCTTAACTTTATTTTATATTTCGTGCACTTTTTGTGTTCAAGCATCGTCCTTTTGTGCACGTTCATTCCATTTTCTCTACTTCGCGTTATTGATATTCTTGCTTCCGTTTCAAGTTCGAAATCTCAAACTCTCTATAAAAGATATCTTTGAGTTGATAAATGAAAAATCAAAGAACAATGTCGTTAAAATATTTGTCTTTCATTATTCTTAATGATGTTTGACGTACCTTCCTCCAATTGCCTAACGTTGAGTGAACTTTTGCATTGCAGTCGGTAGTTTCATGAAAGAAGCTTTGAACCCTTATACATTATACATATTAGCTATGATATTGCTTCGAAAATAGACTTATTATTGCATTTTCTCATGGTTGTTCAGTAAAAACAAACGATAAGAGATACCGACACACTTGAACTAGAACAAAGAGTTAGAAATTGAGCACATTCAACTTGTATTGTTCATGTATATGTTGATCTTTGCTTATAATTAATTAACTCCTCCCATTTTAATCGTTCTCTTTTATCAAACTATTGCTGGACACAATGTCTGGTAAGGTTGTTCAGTAAATCCTTATTGCTAACCTATGCCATTTTTATCATATTATAGGATTTAGACAACTACCTATTTAATTGTCTCAGATAATACATATGTAATTATTATTTTAGTGTTCGAAATAACGCCGTTTGCAGGGGGTTTTTCGTTTCAAATTATCTTAAAAAAAGAAGTACAGTGAATATAATTATCCAATTTGTCACTTTAAGCTACGATTAATATCCATGTTAGAAATTACTTAAATGCGTTGGTGATTTGTAGATTGTTCGGTGCTTTAAACAATGTTTGCTTTTTATGTTGTCTATGAAGATCTGTTGATTAGCGTTGTTGTAAAACACGGTTTACTTTTCTCGTTAGCGGAGATTGAGAATTTTCCCATTTTGTTCTTGAGTTTACAAACGGAAAGGGATTTTCTTGAATTTTCCTTTTCTTCGCCTTCTGTCAATGTTTAGATGGTATTATTTGCTTTCTTTGTTTTATCAAAGTCTTTCCTTCAGTGTGTTTATGTTTATTAAACAGGATTGAATCAGGCTTTATTCCCACAACGCCGGCACTGCACGTAAACTACGTGGGAAGACAAATTAAATAATTATACTTTAATGTATTTACTGCGTGGTTTTATTCACAAATACTAAAGTTATGTTTCATAACTGCTTTTCCACTATGCAGCAGTCTATAATTGTATACGGATGTTGTTTCATTTATTATAATAAATTTATCCTGTAGTTATAAATGTGATAATATCAGGAAATTGTTAGCCTAATATGACTGACAAAAATAGGTTAGAGTGTGTTTATATACCTCATAAACAATCCAAACATGAACTTCTCTCTCATTAAATTTGCTCTTTGAACAGATAAATCCTATGACTTCTGACGACTGCATCATTTGAAGGGAACATCAGTAAATCTGTTTTGGTTTTGATCGAACTATTCATCGCTTTGAAGGTAAGTCTTTTCTTGTACATCGCTTTATTCACTTTTTTAGTTTTTAATCGTTTTTTATAACATACTTTGCTGCAAACTCAACACGTTGTGTGTCATGTGTTGTCCAAAGCTCGTTTCTATCTTGTCATTTTCTATAAAAATCGAATTATTCAACGAGACGTAAAAAACGGAGTACTAGACACAGAACAATCTAGCACTATGATTATTTGTTCGTTTTTATACATTTCTCACCCACTTGAAATATTTTAGCGAAGGTTACAAATATTTAATACCATAGAAATATTTTAAATATGTTCTCACATTTTTTTTACACCTTCAAGATAGTGAACCTTATGTGACAAACTATGACGTTTCTTGCGTAGGAGGACCATACATTTTACAATCATACTCGTGATTACGTCAATAGCCGGGGGGGTGTACTGTGACGTTAATTGTAATTGACATTGTGTGAGAATTTCATGTCTTATTTTGGAGAGATTGTATGCATGAATTTTATAGGATTCTGTAAAGATTCGAATATATTTAGCACTTACGTGTAAGATTATATATAGAACTATCGATAATATTCATAAGGAAATCCGCCAAAATTCTCATTGAATTATTTTAACACTTTAAACCACGTTCTATTGTTTATTATATTTTCATATTTCGAACATCCTTATACAATAAATTGCAATGTTGGAAAGTATATAATGGTTTGTGACAGAGAAATATGAACAAAAGTAAACTTTTTTTTTATTTATTTGTTATGGGAAATTACTTTCCTTCTTGTGATGATGAATTTAATATTCCAGTATAGATATGACTTCTTTCCACTTATGGATCTTGCGAAAATAGACAAGACTTCTTTTTGACGGTGAATTGACGTAAATTTTTAAGTAAGCGACTGTTTCCTGCTTTTTTTAGTTCCCTTTCCTGCCTTTTCCTTCTGTTCCCTTACTCCTTTGGTTCCTGTTTAACTTTGACGATTTTTGATATACTTAAAATTCCTATTCAGTATTTTCTTTACAATGATTTGATAAAAAGTCAACGGTATCGATACGTGTGCTCTCACTTAACGTGTACTTCATGTTTATATGAAACATGTTTATATGACGTTGTCAATGGGTGTACTTGTAAATTTGCTAACTCACTTGCTGAATGTTTGACTTAAGCAAATGTTTGTGTTGTTCATTCCATAGTTATCCCGTGTTTCATCTGGTTATCCCATTTTACATCTGGTTATCCCATGTTTCACCTGGTTATCCATGTTACATCTAGTCATCACATGTTACATCTAGTTATCCCATGTTACACCTAGCCATCCCATGTTACATCTAGTCATCACATGTTACATCTAGTTATCCCATGTTACATCTAGTTATCCCATGTTACACCAAGTTGTCACATGTTACACTTAATGTGGAAAACAGAGAATGTGCTTTTAAGCTGTGAAAATATTGAATAAATCTTAACAGAGATATCAGAATCACATTTAAATATTTCGATACCTGGTATCATTTTTACTTTTTGGCTTCTAGTCGTCGTTACATTTCCATTATGTTAGTTTTTCTTAGAAATAGTTTTGCTCTTCTTTGAAAATTTTTTATTCACTTGGATACGTTTAATGCTTTATCATCATATTATATAATTGTGGTCTGCTTTATTTTTTGGAAAGAAAAATGGGAATAGAATGAAAGGATGTACAAAGTCATTTCGCTAGTTTTGTGGTTTCCTTTCCTGAAAACGGCCTAAAATGGCATGATCAGCATTTGCAGTTGATTTTTTCATATCTTGCTATGTTTTCCAAGTTGTTAGTCAGTGTGGGACTTAAACCTCGCATTTCCGCGCGATGTTGGACACGGCAGGATTTGAACCATCACCCTTCCTTCTCAACGTTTTACTCATCAAACTGCAGAACAGAAAGTGATTAGCAAACTATTTTTTATGCAAACTCATTGCGAAATTTATGCCAACATGACAATATTGATAAATGTGGTCGTTTCCTGAGATTGACTATAATCTCTTTGAAAGAGAACGAAACTTGTGGGCACTGGTATCGGACAGTCCTGAAAGTAAAATATTGTTTTGAATTGAATGTAAATCGAAGCTTCCGTGACAAGTTTCTTTGTTGAGGAAGTTGGCGGTACTAATATAAATTGTCTGGTATTCAATTTTATTATTTCATATTAACTGGGCATTATACGAATCAAAGTTAGTGAAACTGGCAGAGTACTGAGTCAAGCTTTCATTTGAATATTATTTTTAACAACAAAATTGTAAGTGATCTCGATATTTCTACTGCTTTTATTAACGATCATGCAACAATGCAACGTCTTGTTATTAAACATTTAAGTTGGTTGTATCATATTGATGCTGTCAGAATTGATAATTAAAGTGTCATTATCATACATGATTTGTAGGTTGACTTACTTGTTAGTGATTATCTCGCGCAATTTATTTATAACGCTTGTCACTAACGCACTAAATCTTTATGGATGTTTTACTATAGCAATTATGAAAAGTTTATTTGTTCAAAATGAAGCATGTTCAAAATAATTTATGATATTCATACGCTATTGTTTTGTCAAGAAAAGTTTGTCACACGAAATATACTCGTTTACAACCGGCTTTAATGCAATGATTTGGTGAACTTTAAAGATTCCCAAATGTACATGCTGAAGTTAATGGTGTGGTGGAGAAATAATTTTGTAATTGTTTTTGAAGAAAATAGTAAGAATTGAATGGAGCTTTTTACTGGAATATGCATAGGGAAATGTTAAAAATTTTGAGACATTGATGTTTATCGATTTTTTTTTAGAATTCGCCTAAACACTTAGTCAAGGTCAATACTTACTTTTTACTTAAGTCAAAGCAAATTTAATGCTAATTTCATTCTTTTTCGTCCGTCAAATGTTATGGCTGTTACAATCTAACGTAAGAGTATGTTTATGAAGAATTTTTAGTTTCAGTCGTACTAAATATCACTTGTAAGACTGAAGTTTTTTAAATAAGTGTATAGAAGACATTTTTAAAGCAAGGTCAATCTTAACGTACTGAATTTCATTCATGTATAGTCTTTGCTCTTAGAAAATATTATAGTTTCATTTATCATGGCTAAGTCGCGTTGTAAATGAATAGGGCCTGAGACGAGAGAAACGATTGTTTACCCATAGCAAGAAGATTATAATGAACTAGAGTTATTCTTTATAAAGGCTCTCTTTTCTGCCAACATTTTTCGTTAAAATTAGTTGTAAGAGATGTTACAATTTACAAATGTGATTACTTTAAAAAATAATCGCTGAAAAATTCTCTTCTTGTAATATTGGAGAATGGTTGGTCGTTTATATTTCGATCATTTTAATGGATCATGATCCTGTTATAGCTGCAATATTTTCAATAATGCAATCTCTTTTGAATATTGCAAGTTTGGTATTTTTTAATTCCATTTGTGGGTCTTTGCGTGTGGTCAAAAACTAAAACGGAAAAATGTTCTTTGAACAGTTGAGCAATACGTTCGCTTATGGCTTTTGTATATTTTGAACCAATTTGCACTTTAGTTACATCAACTTTGAAGGAAAATATCTCTAGGAATATACTGCTTGATGGCTGATGCAAAAACACTGACAACGTTCTTGCATTAAAACCATTTATTAAAAATAAGAACAATTGTTTTGATATAGGCAACTACAACGATGAAGTTATTCGACTTTGCGGTCTTTATTTATTGGACACCATAGCAATGATGAAAACATATCAGGTTTTTTCCGGCAGTACACATATCATATTTTACAAGAGGGGTCGATCCATTTTAGGACATTATGTTAATTTCTATTGTTTTACAGCAGTTATGGTAGTAAGTTTTAGATAAGTCACGTGGTTAATACACATGCCAAGATGAAATCATCGACTGATCATGAGCAGAAAGTCGTTATCTTTTCTGAAAATATTTCTTATTGCTAAGCTGGATCTTTTCTTGTTAATCTAAATTAAGGTTGTGGTTAGGGAAGAGTTATAGAATGCTCAATATCATCCACATACACTCATAGAGAAGTATACAAAATCGTTCCATGAATGATTTTAATTTTATTTTTTAATACACGCGGATGGTATTTTTAATTTATCAAAATAAAAAAAATCCTCGTGCTCCCTGCTTCCCAATTTTCGTATCGAAACCTTTGAAAAAACTCCACATTTATAAAAAATTTTCAATCTGGAGACTGGGCTACAGAAAGAAAATTCTACGCCTTGATGACTGGCAAATTTTGATGCACATTGAAGAACATGTCTTCATTCTTAAGTGGATTAAAAATTTTGCCTTGCGTGAGTTTGTTTTCATGGAAATTGTGGAATTTTACAGTTGGAATTTCTTTGTATTTATATCATCAGAAATTTATTTTATATTCATCTGCACATCACTTCATCATCTCATGTTTCTGTTCCGTTTTCTACTCACAGTCAACTTCTTGTTTCCTTGTAATGAAAAGAAAGCTTTCAACTTCATAAATGACCTAAATCTTTCGAAATCATTTCCACTTTTTTAACACAAGGGACTCTCATCTTTGCTCCAACCAAGAAATTTAGCTATTACAGCGAAAATTAAACTCATATTTTATGGTATAGTGATATGTGGGCTCCATGAAATCAAATTGTGTTTTTCGTTAATGCCAGAATTCAGCCTTTCCTTTCTCGTTTCCATTCCTTATACGGAAACATATGTTCATATCGGATCTCAACACTCCTTAATAAGTTGCGTATTGCAGTGAAGGCGGTCTTTGTTTGTTCTCTGCGCGAGATTTCTAGCCGTTATTTGTGTTGTGGCGTTTATGCTTTTATTGCCTATTGCAAGATCAAGAATTTTCTCGCATGACATTAAGGAGAAATACTCAATATTTTTCCTATTACTTTTGATGTATTCCTTTGGAAGATACTTGAAATGTGCGTTAATCCTTAATTAAGAGATCTTTATAGTTTGAAGTGTATCCTTGTGACCATAGCTCTGTGTAAGTCAGAGTATTTCAGCAAATTGAAGCTTATATTGCTTTGTTCACATAAGTGCATCAATGAATTCAACTGTTCCTAGGCAGTAGGCAAAAAACATGTTCTGTATGCAAACAGTTGAAAATTTTACGAATGACTTAGTCGTGAAGACATAAGTTAGTGTTTTTCTTACCATTTTACGATGTCAACAAAAGTTTTTGATATTTTTAATCCTTATGATAATACTAACTACTCCATATTGATGTAAGCCAACTAAATCTGCTCAAAACAAGCATTGACTTATATCCTTTCCTATGGTTTATTATCGTCTACCTTATTTTTGTTTCGAACTATTTTTTAGCCTAAATAACATCAAATACTTGCAAGTATTTTCTCTCATTCTCGTCATTAAAGACAGTTATGTTCAATAAATAAATAAACTTTACATAAATCAAGTCATTCGCCACAGGCGAGTTTGTATATCGTCTTAATTCCATTGACGTAGTTTATGTTCAAGATTACTTAAGATTTACTTTCTTTGCAAACTTTAGAGGATGAATGGAATTTCAGTAAATGTTTCATGTTTTGAAGTGTTCCAATCATTTAATTATGTTTGAAGGATTTCAATATCTTCATTTTTAAGTGCTATTTTAGATACATTATATCTTTCGTCGTATTACTGATTTCGAGTACTTGAGAGCGGGGTGTATAGAAACTAGTCATTATTTATAATGATGAAAAGAAAATAAGCAATAAAATTCACGCCTTTAGTACTTATTTTGACTTTTTTATGCGCAAATTGTGAGAGTTATACGTTTGGTTTTTTTCACAGGAACAACTTCCTGATGTTATAATTGCGTACTAGAGAATATTTAGTTTTTTTTATTTTCAATGACTTCATACTATGTTCGTCTTCCTGTCTGAAACATTGCTTTATTTTATTCATATCTAACTTAATCGTTTTCATTATCATCTTACGTTTTATTTTCATTTTAATCATCTTACGTTTTAATTGAAACATTTAAATGTAGTTGAAATGTTGATGTAATAAAGTGTACTATTCGACGAATTGTCGATTCGTCAAATTGGTCTTCTAACAAATTTGATGGGATTACAATGTAGTTGATTAATTAAAGCAGTGATTGATCCAGGCAGAATTAAATTCACGAGAAATAGATTAAATTGCCTTCGTGATTCATATCATAACGTTACTGCACACTTCAATGGAATTTTCGACCACACGCTTTCACGATAGAATTACCCAACCATTTACTATAAAGCACCACAGTAGTCACGAGGAACAAACAATTTACGATGATTATTCGCTGTGCCGTTGTTAAATGACTCGTTGCACACATTTTGGGAGACCTGTGGGGCCTTCGGGTCGATCGTAATTAACCTTATCGTTTGGTATGCGTTCTCATGTTGTTTTAATGATTTACTTGTGACTAGGAGGGGTATAGCATCTAAATTTTAGGTATTATATTCACGTTCTGTTTACATTAATATGTACCCCCTCGATTTCAATTAGTTCCAGTGAAAGCGGATATATAAGTGGTTGAGATAACGCATTGTCGTCAGTTGTTACTAGCTTTCGGACGAAGGTAGAGCTAGGAAATTTAAAATTATCTTCTACTGTAAAATTGAAGGAACTTTCTGTTCATATTCAAGGTGAAACTTGCAAAAGAAATTCATTTCGAAAAAGATTGAATACATAGCCACAAGTTGACGTGTTACTGCACCATTATTCATTTACTTCTATCAACTTTTGGTGAGTGTTTTTAAAACTTTTCTTTGTTCATATAAGATATTTAATCGAGACATATTGCTTGTGCCAGTTTATTCATTGTGAGCAATTGAACAAATTATCCAACCATGTACTTTCCTGTATAGGTTGTACAGGTTTTTCAATTATTTTACACACCACAGGTCGGTCTTTTTTGGCTACGATCATTTATTTAATGTCATTGACTGTGAAATGCTTCGGAAAGATCAAGATAATGTGTTGACTGATTGAAATCGCAACTTCCCCGCTTGTCATCTTTTCTTTAATCGTTAAACGAACGAAATTGGTATCTTGACGGCAAAAATGTTGAGATTTGGATCTATTTCTGATCATGTTAAACCATATGTGTTAAACGAATAGGCTTAACTCAACGTCTACATTTTCTTTACAATCTTGATTTGTTGTTTTAAATAATTTGTCAGCCTTCGGGGTCAAAGCAACTTGACAGCCTTCAGGGAAAAAGCAAGCATTGACAATGTTTATTAAAAACGTCCATAAGTATGTTCTAGATACTTGTGTTTTATATCAATTCTAAAAACTGCGTTATAAATCAAGTGCAATTATAAAATGCAAGGTTCGAATATCAAAATGATTTTTTGATCTCGTTACATTTTCAAAAGAACACTTCTCTTTTGTCGTAGAGAACAATATAAACGTTTCCCAAAGAGTTAAGTGCCATCGTTTCCATCAACAGAAATTTTTATAAATCTTTACGTGATATACATGAGTGGAGTCGTAAAAATTTGCTTTTTTAACGTTGTACTCTTCGTGCGCAAGGAGCTAATTAGATTTTTCGCTTTCTTTCAAGTGTTTACATAACAACCTGTATGTCATGCATGGTGTTCTAATGCAACATAATACAATATGCACAAATTTATTACTTCCACTTCAATGATTTTGTCTTCAATAAGTTTAAAATTACTATGATACGCTAAGCGAACGGGTATTCGTGGAGCTTCAGGCCATTTTATTTTAGCACGCCATCATCCAGGAAAACATGTGAAGCAATCAATGATTTTTTATGTTGCATTACTTCTGTGCCTGAATTTTAAAAACTAATCAATTAAAAATTGTTCCATTAGAAATTGTTCAATTAGAAATTGTTCCATTCTAATTTTTTGAAATCCGTTTAGAGGAATATGAAAAGTGAATTTTGGCGCTATACTAGGTCGTAAAACGTCACATATCTTAAAAAGATTTCCGACTATCAATACACTAGTGTTTTTATTATTGTTAGTTACTGAATTCATCGAATAGAGAAGAACTACTTACGAAAGAAAACGCCCATAAAATACCAAAGCCTTCCGTAACATCTCAATAACATGGAATTTAAAACTGAATTTCCTCCTTGTCCTGTAGTGAAGGAAATATCCGTTTATTGTTTCCTTTAGCTTGATTGGGAAGTGCTTGTAGCTTTACTCATTGTTTCTGCACCTTTTTAAACACAAGAACAGATTAACTTAATTGTTTTGAGAAAAGCGTTTGCCACTCGACAATCTCATCGCACAAACACTAAAAGTCATAGCGTGATTGGCTGATGTTAAACACCTACTGTTCAATTAGCCAGTTAAATTCTAGCTGTGTTACTTCCTAATTTTCTCTATTTTCTTGGGTAGTCAACTGGTGCAACGCAGAGAAATTATAACCGCAGAAAAAATCAGATCATGTTGTGAACAGCACGATAAGACTTTATTTGTGCGTTAAGAAATTATATGTTTCGTTGTAAACAGGAATTTTTTTAATACGTCATGTTTTTTATCTTTGGATCGCGAGTGAGTTATGACGTTTTTATAATGTCGTTCTCTCCGTTTTTTCGTCTTTTCACTTTCTTTAATATGTTTGCTGCGATTACAAATGACGAAGCGATTAGCAATTACGCCATCCTGTATGCAGAAAATAAACCGTTGATTTACTGAGAAATTTAATGATTTAGCAGCAGCGCGTGGCTATATTTTCATTTATATGTATTTTTAGAGGTTTCTTTTTGTTGTTTGTTGAATTAAACTCAGCAATATTGCTATTATGTTTACTTTTGGATGAGCCGGCTAAAGGAATTGTTAAACTGCGATCTCAGAGAAGGTTTACTGCTGTCTATGTATATTGAAATGCCGTGTATAAATTGCCGCAAGCTTTTTTCATGTTTTGGTGTAAATAGTTTGCAGTTACATATGGGCTTTTTAAGGAATGTAATCGAAGGCTACTAGGAATTAAAGCTGCAAATATATCTTTTTTGTTGTATTCTGTATGGAAAGATGTGTGTTTTATAGATCTTTTATGAAGAAAAATACATGTTTTACATATAGATCTTTTATAGAGGAACATATATGTTTTATAGATCTTTTATAGAGGAACATATATGTTTTAAATTGATCTGTTATACAGGAGCATACGTGTTTTATATATTCCCTTAGTGAAATATTCATGTTTTATAATTTTTTATATATTTTTTATTCTTTGTGGGTAGGACTTGGCGATTGTATGTTTGTGTGTTGTGTTTTTATTTTGATTTGCTGTATATTTACATATATCGTGTTTTTTATGGCAAATATTTACATTAGCTAGTTGTTAGTCTCTAGGTCTGTACATTTACTTGATGAATGAATTCATCTTTCTAAATGAGTTCATTTTCAATAAATGCATGAATTTTTTCAATTTTTGTTTTATATCATAAGGTACCACCATGCCTATTCAATATAATGTAACGGTTTTGGTGTATTTTTTATGCTTTGAGAATATGGTAAAGATAGTGTTTTGTTTAATGTATAAGAAGATTGTATTTTGTGGAAATTCGTGTCAATACATCGTAAAATTATGTCATTTACTTATTATTTAAGCAGTGAACTTTCACAATAAAGAAAGACATTTTTATGTCATCACTTAAAAATGTTAATTTCGCTGAATTCTCTTTTGCTGTTTTATGATATGCTAAGCCTGTGAATTTTTTCACTTTATGCTTGGTAACTAAGAGGATTAAAATCAGTAAATAACGAAATAATTTTGATCGTCTTCATTGACAACTGCCGTCATTCCTTGATATCGTCGTAAATTTATGTATAGCAGCTTGTTATCGTAATGTTTCATTTATTTGCCATTGTGGTGCAAACTTTTGACATTGTCAGATCTTCCCTCCTTTAGATTTAGACATCACGAAACAGAAAAATTAAAAAACAGTGTATACTTTGTATTAAAATACCATAGTAATATGGAAACTCGGGCATATACAGTATAAATTTGTATATTATATCTTTTTGAATTTCAAAGTCAATTACTTGCATGTGTGTGTATTTCTAAAATGGTCATACATAATTCTAGTCTTGTAAAACGGACATGCCTATAATTATTGATATCTCAAAGACATTGCGGTCGCTGAGTGTATGACGTCATTTATTATTGATTCAACTCGTTTGTGTTGTTAGTTAACATTCGTTGCAAAGAGATGCTTTCAAAATAATCATATTTTTTTTACTTTTTAAAAATTTTTTTGCCCCCTTTGTTAATACTTCATTTGTTTTTTGGTCAATCAGACATCTTTTTATAGTGCAATCTGCGTCAACAGGATTTTTGTGCATTTTATTCGTTATATTGTCGTGTTTGATATTTATGGGCATGCTAAACTGTCCGCATTCTTACAACGTCATTAAACAACATTTAAAAGAATGCGATTATAGTCTTTGCTGTCTTCAAAACAAACACATCAAACTTGTTGATATCATAGGGAATATTAAAAAGTCGAGGTTAATCTGCGAATTTTTTGAGAGATTTTCATTGTAATAGTATCAGCCAGCTTGATTTTCACTAGCCCTCCAGGTATACACTCTAAGGAGTCTGATACCATACATGATATTCTCTATATATTGATTCAGTTGAACAGTCTGGCACGAAAATATGCCAGTCATCAAGTATTGACAAGAAAATCTTCTTAACCTTTGACGGCAATGTTAAATTAACTTGTAGTAAAAGTTGATATCGATAATTTTCTCTCATCTTTGTTAGTTCATCTACTATAGTGGATCGTAATTTTAAGGCGTTGCTATTGAAAAATGCATTAATAAATGTGTAATGGCGTGTGTTTTTTTGACACAACCTATAACCACATCATCATCATCTTCACACACCCAAAATTATTCTGAATGGTATACGACCGGGGGGGAGCAAGGAGTGTATGGAAAAATTCTTGCCAATGTACCGCTTAGCAATAAAGCCACAAGTCTTCGAACATTCTTGAACCCCACGTGGTAAAATATGCGTGGTATTAAACTGTTTGAAAATTTGTTCCTTATGTGCAATCGTACCCCATTAATCTTCAATTGAAATAGGTAATTGTGCTACGCGTTAAAATACATCCATTACGTAAACGTCATTATTTATCATTGCCTCTGCTGGGGCCTTTATATGCCATATGTGACAGATGGTGAATGCTGTTGTGTTGCTTGTACTCATCTCTAATGTATTTTGATGTTTGATCTTCTTCGATTGTCTGGTTAGTTGAAAAGATTATGCTCAATTATTCTTGTATATTTAAGGCTTTTTATTGTCTTTAATTATTTTATATTTGAAGTACTTCGGTCTGTTAATCATATGTTATGTTAAATCTGTACTTTGCATTTGTGTCGTTGATTTTATCATGTAGATATTTGTTGCTCGATGTCTTTACACAAGTTGTCAACAGCAATATAATGCATGTTAATTTATTTATAATGAATGTAACGAAATTGCTCTAAAATGCCCTGTATTCTGCTAAATTGTTCATTTTTTGACGAGTTTTAGTTGTTTGAATAGGCGGAGAAACCGCGCCCATCAAAATTTTACATTACCGAGTATGTGTTCAGAAGTATTCCTTTTATACATAGAGAAATATTTTATATGTTATTCACTTGCCTTCTCAATTTTGTTCTTTAATTGTATATTATTTATTCATCTAGTTAATTATTGTTATCATAATGCGAACAAAAATTGCGACGTGCTGTTCTTATAAATTATCAGTGAATCTTCACTTTTGTCGACGCATGCGTGCTCGTTCGCACCTTTTGATAAATTCAAACACGTGCGCGCGCAAACTATCCAAAATATTGATTGCTTTGCTATATATAGTGAACGTATGTCTGTTAGCGCGTGCGGCACTTGTTGTAATGTGAGCAAGTTCTATATTTTAACTCAAATTTAATTGATATCATAATTAAAGTTGATGATTCGAATGGTTTATATAAATATCCCCCTTGCTTGACTGCTTGTGCCGCAACGCCAATTAAAGTCATCGTCTTCCTTTCTTTGCGTTTATCTTTCAAACCTCAAATAATTACTCGGGTTTTCGTTTGTGTTTTGGCGATCGAGTGATTAAATACAGTTGCCTTGTTTCTATTAAGAAATACTTCTTAGTGATCTGTACCTTTTCTCCCCTTATTGATAATGAAAAGACAGTATAATTAACAAACTCAGCGCTGTTTAATTGTTAGAGCATATTTTTCGCACATTGGCTGTTTCGCGAATCACGCAAAAGATGTCTGTTTGATAAGATACCTACAATAAATTACCAACGCAGTTTGTCAGTTTGAATTACAAAACATGATTTTATAATATACGAAAGTGCGCTAGATTGCGCAAAACTGCTATTGTTTCTATTGGAGCTCATTTGTAAAGAAGAAAAATAGTTTTGTCGCTTTTCTAAATCGAACTGTCTGTCACACCTCATTTGTCCAAAGCTAGTTCATTTGTCTATAAAAATGTCTATAAAGCATGTGGGCATTTGAAATAAGAACTGAGCCGATCTATTTTGGAAAATAATGCTTGGAAATTTGTGAAGAATTTTTGTTTTTTTCATCTACGTATGTTAAACAATAGAAGATTACATCATTTCTCCTTTAGGATTTTTTGCAATCGAGCCAATCCATTTTGTTAAAATAGGTCTTAAAAACAGATTTAAACAATGGAATTTCACATTTGCCTTTTCCTGGCAAAGAATTCAGACAGTCATTACATTTGATGTGTGAATTAAAATAAAAAATTGATGCTTCAGATTGAAATATCCGATTATGTTTTCTCTTGCCTTTGGTTTTTAGCTTTGTAAGAGTTAAACGTGGGTGTTTCACCCTCCTCTTCGACTTACTGTTTTGTAGTAGTTAACATATTAGAGAAATATTTGTCGGAGTTAACACTTAACATATCATCTTTAGGTGTTAAAAAAAGCATCTCAGTAAGGGGTCGGAGAGGGGTACTTTGCTATGACTTTTATTGTAAAACCATTTCCTGTTTAGAATTCATCAACTCATCATAGACGTCGTTCGTTCAATCTGCAGGTCAAACTTTATCAAGAATGTTGGTCTTGTGCTTCTTTATCACTGTACATGTCGCTTTTGTTGAAACAAGAAGTGTTCTAGTGGAGACGGGAAAAAGCCAAAAAATAAACGAAGAGAAATTGAAAGCCTTTGAACAACGTTTTCTCGATATGATTGGAATAAAGGAGAAACCACAAGGTTCAAAGAAATTGGCTGTGCCGCAGTATATGTTAGATTTATTTAACAGTCGTGTGCGTGATCCTAATTACATCTCGACAAATATGATATTTCAAGATTTTGCAACGACCGCGAATACAGTTCGTTCTTTTTATCACAAAGGTTAGAAATGTTACGTCAAATGCATTATAATAATTCAATGATTGTAATGCGCTATAAAATAATATGTAATGTTCACATCTGAGTCGTGATGCAGACCTAATGCTTTAGTTTTTCGTATCGTGAGCTATTAGATCGTTGCTTTATTGTCATAATAATTGGCATGCAGAATTTCACTGCTTCCTCCAATTTGGAGGATGTCATGGCATGCGCTCAAATTCACATCTGTTAAATTTGTCTAGTAATTATAAAATGGAAGTTTGATTCGATTTATGTTGTGAGTTTAAAACTACGAAATATCTAATCGTGCTTGAAAGAACGGTAGTTTGCTTTTTATGAAATGTTTTAGACATTGTAAATTAAACGGAAACAATGTTTTGATAGTATCATGGAAATTTCGCTTGGTAGAACCGGGGGGTTGTAAATTTTAGGCTTCTGCAAAATGGCTATAGGAAGTCTTATCTTAAAAAGTAGATTATTCTTGGTTTAGGATTAATTACAACGGTCTTTGTTTTACGTTAGATTTACCGCAGAGGAACAGTGGAACTAACGTAAGATCAAAGAGGAGCGTCTTTCTTGATATGAAAAGCATTCCTTGGCACGAGGAGTTAGTTAAAGCCGAGTTTCGTGTTTATAAAAATCGTTCCACGATGGAATCGAGCCATTTCATAAATCTTTATAAGATTTTACCGTCTGGGGAAAGAGAATTACTCGACTCGAAGACGCTTAATGGTTCCTCGTTCGGATGGTTAAGCTACGACATTCTTGAAGCGGTAAAACATTGGCATAAATCACCCAAAGATAACTATGGTATAGAGCTTGAATTGATGAATGAAAATGGGCATTATGCAGATGCATCTCATATTCATTTCGATAAACCAGATTGGATGAACATAGAGCAATGGGCCAATCATCGACCATTGTTTGCAGTATATTCACGAGATCCCAAAACTCATGTACATAAAAAGCGTGAACGCCGTAACGCGTCCCCGTCATGGAAAAATTATAATGGTCAATGCCAGCGTTTTGATCTGGTCATTGATTTCGTTGGCCATTTGAAATGGGATTGGGTCATTCAACCTTCAACATATTCAGCTTACTTATGCAAAGGAAAATGTGTGTATCCATTGGTTGATCATATGAACGCTACAAATCATGCCATGGTACAAACCCTGGTTCATAGTTTGAAGAAATATCGTGATAAAATACCACCTGCGTGTTGCGTGCCTACGGAACTTGAGTCTGTTATGTTGTTGCTTCAGAAAGGTAACTCAGTTGAACTGAAAGATTATCCAGATATGTCTGTGACGAGTTGTGGATGTAGATAATATCATAAAATATAAAGGAAAACGAATTATCCAGCACTTGTTTCTTCCTTCAACTCAGATAATCTAACTATGTCTTGCGACACTCGCATCCCTAGTTTCTGCGCATGTGCAAAGTATGGTCCGTTTATATGTGGAACAGATTTCATAGTGAACAAAATTTACGATTTCTCAAAACAGAACTATGTCCAAAAGATTGTGAAAACAGAAAAGGTGTTTCTGATGTTGCCTTTTAGAGCAAATTGTCCAATGTGGTGTAACGAGTTGCTTCAAAACGAGATTATGGGTTTGGAAACGGGATTAGGAAGTCACTCGTCTTGTGTGTGCAAATTTTACCAAAACATGATGTCATATAAACATTAATTTATAGTACATATCATCGTTATATCACGAAAAACAAAACAATGTATAGTGTATATTTTTATTGTTTATTAATATTATTATTTCAGGATATATTTGTAAAGAATTTTGTAAATATAATGATTTTGATTATATGTGTTAGAAACAATGTTGTCTTTCCAATAACTGTCATCAATGTTAGAATTTCAACGAATATTTGTTCGTATAGCAGAAGTCAGCACCATTTTTAACTACTTGGGTCGAGATTTGGGTTAGGTTGCATTTGCCTTGTTGCATGTTTTTGATAATGGTTTCACATGATGAGAGTCTGTCGTTGAATGCATCAAAAATATAGTGAATAGAAACTTTTTCAAACTTTCAAAAAGTATGTTGGAATGGTTTGTGTAGAAAACTTGCACCAATTTTCTGCGCTGTTTGACCGTGTCAGAAAAGTGACAACACATGCGTTAGTCATTGCGCTATAATGGTAGCAAGCTCAAGCGTTCTTTCTACTACCGGATTTCTATCACATTTTTGCAATTAACGCTTTTCGCCACGTTCATTTGTTGTTGCGCAAAATGGTGGCACGAGTCATAATGTAAATATATTTGTAAACAAATTGACCAATCGTGTGAAATCTTTAAATGTTTGGAATGTCCAATTACTTTTCTATGGAGATCAATGGGGCTGTGAAATGACTTTTAAATGCTAACACGAGATTATTACGAAATTGGGAAGACGTTGATTAAACGGGCTTCAATGCAAATGAATTTTTTGCCATTGGTCATAAGAATTACGCTCGTATTTGCTTTTCTCATCCTTCATAAAGTACATTAAGTCAAAATTATGTTTCTTATACCAAGGCAGGTTTCATCACACACAATCGTTAATGTGTTAACGAAAGCATACTTCAATACTTCCCAATGGAAATGACGCGAAGCTCTTCATGACAGATGAAAAATTGACCTCCTCAGTGGGTCAAGTTATTCAATAAAGTGACCTTTTTTGGCAGGAATTTAAACAACACTATTTTTATGTGGTAACCTTTTATGGGGCTACATTGCATTTTCTATGAATGGTTTTTACGCAGCAAAAAATTTTTTCCATGCTCGTGTCCCGCCGTTGTTCAGTCACGAATCCAAAACCGAGTTCCCAACCGCTTGATCCGTTTAAAGGTTTGCTCTCTAAATTTAGTCAAATGTGAGACGTATTTGCTAAATAAGCAAACAAAGGTTTATGCTGCGACGCTAGTTAGTCGTTATGGACTTAGCTTCGTTCATGCTGAGGTCCTTAAGCCGCCTCGTAAAAAACTGTGATTTATATGAAGATAGTTGCGTATACACAACCACACAAGATGATAAGCACACAGGAAAGCATTATTGAATATCTGTATGTGGTTTGTCAAAATTTTCATAGGTTTCTGTTACCAATACTCTATAATAGTTTGGGTATATTATTCAAACACCTGGCGTTCGCAGAAAAACACGCAAACATCGTAAGCCTTTTTTCATCATAAATAAGGAATATAATTTATGTTAGTTATGTGTAGTATATCAGCTCAGAAAACTGTCATGTCGTTTGCCAAACATCACGTTGAAGTTTGAAAGATATCTCCCCTGAAGACTACGGGGGCGTCAAAGATCAATTCAATGGATTACTGGGTGGATTTTACATCAACCGTATGTCAGTGCTCATTACCTGTGATTGAATGTAAACCAAGTCACTTATTTGCACAGTATTATTGTTATATTCTAAATATTTTCTCAACATCATAGTATCATTGATGAAAAAATGTCCACAAAAAAACAGCAGATGGTCAGAACAGTCGAGAATACACCGCGTGATAAAGTGGATTTTCACTGCTTTGGTATTCTCACGGTGTCGCGGTCCCTTGTCGGCCCGTTTGGCCAACTTCGAAAAAATGAAAATGTAAAAATGATTTGTTTACATACCATCCTCGTGAGCTTTACCTCCACGATGGCACTCTCGAAAACTTAATTACGATCTCAATTCCGACAACGTCATGAAGCGTTCAAAAACAAAACAAGGGAAAACCTTAAAAGAAAAGAATTTGGCACATAATTTGACCTTGGATTCTTCTTATCTTCCCGGTTGTCCATAAACAACTTTTACGTTTTATGAAATTGGGTTAGCTGTGACCCTGTGACCGTGGCTGTCACCACCACGGCTCAGAAGAACACCGAGACACGTGACCTCCCAACATGAGTTACCTAGGCAACATGAGGAAAACAACATGGCGGCTCGAGATGAGATCAAAATCTCCCAAAAGACATCAATTTTGCCTCCTATAATATGTGCATGGAACCAAAAGAAAAAAAACTCGCATTTACCGCATCCGGTACAGAATGTGGAGAAAATTTATGATTTAAAAAGATTTTGTAAGCTGCTTTGTGAATGGTATGAGGTTTGGCGAGGTTGGCAGAAAGAGGTGTTATTGTGTACCTTGACAGAGAAATGTTCGGTGAATTTACTTGTCTTGCTATCTACAATCCTTAAACCAGTATTCCATAGAGAATTTTTGTTCAGATTAAGTGGTCAATACACTAATTTTAAACGTGAAAATTCCCAAAAGTCGACGACAAAATTTCGAAGGCCAAGAACAAGAGGCAACAATGTAGAGAAAGACTTAATCAACGGCAAAGATTTCGACAAGAAACAAAGCTGCAAAGCAAACAAAAAGCTTTTTCATGACGAGTTTCGAGAAATTACTGGTTGCGGTGTATTTCAGGGAACAAAAGATAAAAAACTGTGTAAAAAAAGGCCGTCCTTTAAATCAAGGAGATGTGGAACACCATCAAATGAAAGTATAGAATCTGTGAATAGTTCTTTTACTGATTGGAGACGGCAAAAATTATCAAACAAACTAATTGATTATCAAAAAATGTCTGACACGAAAGTCTCAAACCCAATATTTTTTAATGCATTTGAGGAGAGTAGATTACGCCATGTACACACGGGAAACGTTTACAAATCTGGAGAAAAAATTTCAAGATTTTTCTCAGCAACTCGTTACAATTGCTTGAGTGAAATGAAAGCTAAGCTTGTTGGCTCAGAATCTTGGCAAAATCAACTAGATCAAAAGTGTTTCAAGCATGAACGATGGTGGTCTGATGATATGAATGAAAATTTTTTTGTTCATGCTCAAGGGTCAAATCTATGGAAACAATTCACAAGAAAACTTTGTGAAGTCAATAAGGTTAGTAAGTACATATCATGTTGGTTATCAATAGTTATCCATGATTATCCATATGTTGGTTATCAATAGTTATCCAAGATTATCCATATGTTGGTTATCAATAGTTATCCAAGATTATCCATATGTTGGTTATCAATAGTTATCCATGATTATCCATATGTTGGTTATCAATAGTTATCCAAGATTATCCATATGTTGGTTATCAATAGTTATCCATGATTATCCATATGTTGGTTATCAATAGTTATCCAAGATTATCCATATGTTGGTTATCAATAGTTATCCAAGATTATCCATATGTTGGTTATCAATAGTTATCCATGATTATCCATATGTTGGTAATCAATAGTTATCCAAGATTATCCATATGTTGGTAATCAATAGTTATCCATGATTATCCATATGTTGGTAATCAATAGTTATCCAAGATTATCCATATGTTGGTTATCAATAGTTATCCATGATTATCCATGTAATTTCATGAGTAATTGAATTTTCTAACAGCAGATGGATGAATACAGTGACCATGAAAAGGTCAATGTCATATCTGAAGTTATCAAAAGCTCAGAACCAGAGCAAATCAACTTTTTTACCCAATGTTTGATACAAAGGTAAAGTGGGATTTATTAAATCCTTGAAAATTTATAAAATATTGTTATTGAATTATTTACTTTTACAGTTTCTTTAATTATATTTGTGCGCAACTCGTTTTAGATTGATTCAGATAGTTTATACCTTACAAATGGCTAGTTTGTTTGTGTTCAATGGTCAATATATTTATGTAGCTTGTTAATTATTTAGAGCAAGTTTATTAAGAAAGTTGTGAATTATGGGATATACATATCTGTTTAAATATATACTTATAATTTCTGTATCTCTCAGGTTAAAGAATCACACAGACGTAACTATACTTCCTGATCAGACGTTGCTTCAAGTGTTTTCTAATCTTGATGCTGAAACATTGTGTCTATTATCAATGGTAAATTTTCATACTTTTCATAGATGCTATCATAAGAGATGCTAAGCAAGGAGTAGAGATTATAGGCAATGATAGTAGATGATAAAGGATAATAGACAATGATAGCGATCATAAGAACTTCTAGGCAATGGTAAGAGATGATAAGTTATAATATGAGATGATAAACATTGATAGACGATGATATAAGATGTTAAGCGATGATAAACAATGAAAGACAATGATATAAGAGGATAAACGATGATAAACTTATAGGCAATGAAAAGAAATAGATGGCATGCAATGATAAGCGATGGTAAACAAAGATAGATGATAAGAGATGATAAACGATGATAAACGATGATAAACGATGATAAACGATGATAAACGATGATTGGCGATGATGGGCGATGATAAGAGATATTTTATCTGTCAATCATTTCCATTTCAGTTGCAAGATATATTAATGTATAAATTAACAGCGAAATATTACTTTTAGCGAAATAATACTTTTCCTCAGTTTCCAAAAGGTTTGTGCAAAACATAGACAGCCTACTTCGTAAAGGATATGTCACCAAGATTTCATAATTTTCCTTGTTAAATATCTTTAATCACAATCAAGGCTTACTCGGGATGTTGAGCAAATATATCTCTAAATAATCTATTGCTAATGCTTCTTAAAAATCGGATAATTTATTTGTAACTTAACGGCTTAGTTTCAACTTAAAATAGTTTGTTCACATAACAATAGGTGTCAAAACGTTGGCGTTATTTGGCTGAAGATGATTATCTATGGAAAAAAAAGTGCTTAGAGTTAGGTACAAAATTATTTAGTATGTTAAAGAAATTCTTTATCGAAAATTATCCTTCGAGGTAATCGATGTTGATTTGCACATTAGACTCCTTCTCTTTAAGAAAGTTAACTGTTTGACAACATAATTGTTAATATTTTGAAAAAATACCCTCAACTTTTTGTGACTTTAGTTGAAGTGGATCTTTCAACTGTATTTTTGGCTTAATTCAAAGTTTTAATTCAAAAAAATTCGCGCCGGTTTTTTGCAATTGCTGTGTGTTCTTTGTGTTTTGTGTTTGACCTTAAACCAGAAAAAAGTTAAAATTTGATAGACTGTAATTCATTTTTTTCACCCATGTGTTCATAAGTGAAGTAATTCTATGAAGTTCTGTCAATAATTGTTATGATCATCACCTTTATCTGTATCTGCAGGTTTATCCAATGGTGTTAAAAATATCGTGTCACTTATTGAGAATTTTGCTGAAAACCGTTCAGTAGACTGGAAACGAGCGTACAAAGAAGTATATCAAATGCTAATAAATGAGAGAAAAATGGAAAAAGAAAAGGAGATGGAGGGTAAGAAATAAATAGATTAAAGTAGTTATCTAGGGAGTGTGGCTGTAGACCTGTTAGTGGGTTGAGTAGTTATCTAGAGAGTGTGGCTGTAGACCTGTTAGTGGGTTGAGTAGTTATCTAGGGAGTGTGGCTGTAGACCTGTTAGTGGGTTGAGTAGTTATCTAGGGAGTGTGGCTGTAGACCTGTTAGTGGGTTGAGTAGTTCTCTAGGGAGTGTGGCTGTAGACCCGTTAGTGGGTTGAGTAGTTATCTAGAGAGTGTGGCTGTAGACCCGTTAGTGGGTTGAGTAGTTATCTAGGAGTGTGGCTGTAGACCTGTTAGTGGGTTGAGTAGTTATCTAGGGAGTGTGGCTGTAGACCTGTTAGTGGGTTAAGTAGTTATCTAGGGAGTGTGGCTGTAGACCTGTTAGTGGGTTGAGTAGTTCTCTAGAGAGTGTGGCTGTAGACCCGTTAGTGGGTTGAGTAGTTATCTAGAGAGTGTGGCTGTAGACCTGTTAGTGGGTTGAGTAGTTATCTAGGGAGTGTGGCTGTAGACCCGTTAGTGGGTTGAGTAGTTATCTAGGAGTGTGGCTGTAGACCTGTTAGTGGGTTGAGTAGTTATCTAGAGAGTGTGGCTGTAGACCCGTTAGTGGGTTGAGTAGTTATCTAGGGAGTGTGGCGGTAGACCCGTTAGTGGGTTGAGTAGTTATCTAGGAGTGTGGCTGTAGACCTGTTAGTGGGTTGAGTAGTTATCTAGGGAGTGTGGCTGTAGACCCGTTAGTGGGTTGAGTAGTTATCTAGAGAGTGTGGCTGTAGACCTGTTAGTGGGTTGAGTAGTTATCTAGGGAGTGTGGCTGTAGACCCGTTAGTGGGTTGAGTAGTTATCTAGGGAGTGTGGCTGTAGACCTGTTAGTGGGTTGAGTAGTTATCTAGGGAGTGTGGCTGTAGACCTGTTAGTGTGTTGAGTAGTTATCTAGGGAGTGTGGCTGTAGACCTGTTAGTGGGTTGAGTAGTTATCTAGGGAGTGTGGCTGTAGACCTGTTAGTGGGTTGAGTAGTTATCTAGGGAGTGTGGCTGTAGACCCGTTAGTAGGTTGAGTAGTTCTCTAGGGAGTGTGGCTGTAGACCCGTTAGTGGGTTGAGTAGTTATCTAGGGTGTGGCTGTAGACCCGTTAGTGGGTTGAGTAGTTATCTAGAGAGTGTGGCTGTAGACCTGTTAGTGGGTTGAGTAGTTATCTAGGGAGTGTGGCTGTAGACCCGTTAGTGGGTTGAGTAGTTATCTAGGGAGTGTGGCTGTAGACCTGTTAGTGGGTCGAGTAGTTATCTAGGGAGTGTGGCGGTAGACCCGTTAGTGGGTTGAGTAGTTATCTAGGAGTGTGGCTGTAGACCCGTTAGTGGGTTGAGTAGTTATCTAGGGTGTGGCTGTAGACCCGTTAGTGGGTTGAGTAGTTATCTAGGGAGTGTGGCTGTAGACCTGTTAGTGGGTTGAGTAGTTATCTAGAGAGTGTGGCTGTAGACCCGTTAGTGGGTTGAGTAGTTATCTAGGGAGTGTGGCGGTAGACCCGTTAGTGGGTTGAGTAGTTATCTAGGAGTGTGGCTGTAGACCCGTTAGTGGGTTGAGTAGTTATCTAGGGAGTGTGGCTGTAGACCTGTTAGTGGGTTGAGTAGTTATCTAGGGAGTGTGGCTGTAGACCCGTTAGTGGGTTGATAAGTTTGTTTGAAAATGAAATCTTTCTCGTTTCCAATCATTATGGTATACTTTCATGTTCAACAGAGCTTGAAATCTAGACTGTGTTTTTTATAAGTAATTGTCTATCATGATATGACTTATGGATAATGAGGGATACTTGTGGTTGTTATACAATTGTTTATCACGTTACGACTTATGGATAATGTGGGATACTTGTGGTTGTTATACAATTGTTATTTATATTTCCGTATAGAATCTGTGAGCACATCATCAGACTCCCAATTTGGTAAGTTGAATCGTGTTGAGAAAAAATGAATTTTCTTTTCTATTGATACAGTGCTGTTTACATGATATAATGAATTTTTCTTTTTATTTGTTAAAACATGATAATATTTTTTTTAAAAGAATATTCTTATTTAACTCTTAGATAGTGAAAGTGAAGAAGATGATGATTACAATAATCGAACACAAGCAAGTGCAGCGGCAGAAGGAAGTATGTAGGTTATGTTGTTCATTATGTTTTTACGGGTCAGTGTCGTAGCTTAAAGAGGGTAGAAAGCAATTGTCATCATCTATTATAGCTTGATTATATAAATATGCCCCCCCTCTCAATTACATCACGCAATATGTATTTAAGGAATCTCTTCTTTAGATATAAACGTTTAATGAAAGATTGACTTTTGACGTTATGCTCTCTGATATCGATAAACGAAGTCAAAAACACACTAGGAAACTTAAATTTTCTTATTGTTTCTCCTAATTTTTATTTTTGTAACTATCATCCGTTTAGTTGTTTTGGATTGTTTAGCTATAAAGTTTTAGATTTACTTTGCGTCTTTATATCCTTACTTAGTGACGACGGACATTCAACTTGCATACCTTGATCTTTCACCAAAATTGGACGTTGTATCGTCCAAGTGTTTTGACGAAAATGAAATTTTGATTCGTGGAGATCTCGCATCAGTACGGGAAAATGCTTCATCTGAATTGCAGAACAAAAAGCAGAATGTTGATCAAGAGGAAATTGCTTTTGATGTTCGAACAAATAAAGTTCAACCTCGTAATGAAATCGTAAATAGGAAATATACTTTTTCATTTTTCTGTTTTATTTTTCTTTTTTTCAATGATTGTTTTGTCATCTATTTACAGGAAAATTTTCAAAACGAAAGCCACCAAATGATTACTCTAACTGTCTTGGATGTAAAATCTGTCAAAAGAGTACGCAAACTTCAAGTAAATGATGTGTTTTTACTATTTGTACATAATTATGCTGTGATGTTGTTATTTGTACAAAGTGATGAAGTCTTGTGCTGTTCTATACTTGTAAATTGTCAACTTAAATAAAATTTTTAGGGACATCTGGATGGCGTATATGCAGTACAATTTGACAGAAAACGATGTTTGACAGGATCAGCTGATCGTTTATTGAGGTATTTTCAAAGCCTGATTGCTTTCTATCGATGCCAAGGGATAATAAATGATTAAGTTGAACTATCTATTAATGCTGGGGGGGGGTCTTATTATTTGCATGTGTCATTGCCAGAAACAGGAATTCTTGCAAACACTGTTAAATATGTTTGTTTATTTGACGTTTTAAACTTTCATCTATAGAATGTGGGATGTACGAAGTGGTCGAACCATTAGCACTATGACAGGTCACTTGGTAAGTACTGAACACAAAAAAGCAATATTGACTTTGCTTAGATCGACCGTAGTAAGCATATATTTTAATGTTTCGCGTAAGAATTTAAAGAGTAACAAAATTTCTTCAAAATATTTCATATTTATATGGTTAAAGGGTGGAGTACGATGTGCCCTATTTGACAGAGAGAAGATAATAAGTGGATCATGGGATGCAACAGTTATGGTAAGAAAAACGAGTTGAACCAGAACTAACGTTTATCACTTTGTTTCATAAAACAACCATTCTTCAGTAGCATTATTATTTGGATCTGTTTACGAATGTTTTTTTTAGATCTGGGACATCATTAAGTTTACATGTCTTGCCGTCTTGCGCGGTCATCAAGGATGTGTTTCTTGCCTTGGATGTAATAAAGTTTATATGTAAGTAGAAACTACTTACTAATCTCCCCCCCTGATGTATTGTTCTTTTCTTAATACCTCCAGCTTTGTGAGGAATATTTGTTCATTAGATTGCTAAAGCAACCCAGTCATGGTTTTCTTTTTCTTAATACCTCCAGCTTTGTGAGGAATATTTGTTCATTAGATTGCTAAAGCAACCCAGTCATGGTTTTCTTTTCTTAATACCTCCAGCTTTGTGAGGAATATTTGTTCATTAGATTGCTAAAGCAACCCAGTCATGGTTTTCTTTTCTTAATACCTCCAGCTTTGTGAGGAATATTTGTTCATTAGATTGCTAAAGCAACCCAGTCATGGTTTTCTTTTCTTAATACCTCCAGCTTTGTGAGGAATATTTGTTCATTAGATTGCTAAAGCAACCCAGTCATGGTTTTCTTTTCTTAATACCTCCAGCTTTGTGAGGAATATTTGTTCATTAGATTGCTAAAGCAACCCAGTCATGGTTTTCTTTTCTTAATACCTCCAGCTTTGTGAGGAATATTTGTTCATTAGATTGCTAAAGCAACCCAGTCATGGTTTTCTTTTCTTAATACCTCCAGCTTTGTGAGGAATATTTGTTCATTAGATTGCTAAAGCAACCCAGTCATGGTTTTCTTTTCTTAATACCTCCAGCTTTGTGAGGAATATTTGTTCATTAGATTGCTAAAGCAACCCAGTCATGGTTTTCTTTTCTTAATACCTCCAGCTTTGTGAGGAATATTTGTTCATTAGATTGCTAAAGCAACCCAGTCATGGTTTTCTTTTAATACCTCCAGCTTTGTGAGGAATATTTGTTCATTAGATTGCTAAAGCAACCCAGTCATGGTTTTCTTTTCTTAATACCTCCAGCTTTGTGAGGAATATTTGTTCATTAGATTGCTAAAGCAACCCAGTCATGGTTTTCTTTTCTTTGAATCTGAGTTTTATCTTCTAGTGTGAGCGGATCACATGATATGACTGCAAGAGTGTGGGATGGGGATACATGGGAATGTTTGCATGTCCTCGAGGGGCACTTAGGTATTTTATTGTTAACAACGCTAAGACATATGTTCTACCAGAAAATTGTATAATATCGGTACATGTAATATATGAAATTTTGTTTATTTAGGTGAAGTAACTTGTCTTTATTTGAGTGAAAAACTTCTTTTGACTGGATCAACCGACAAGTACGGGTTATAAAGCAAGGAATTTTGTTTAATTTTTATATGATAGTTTAATGAATAGTTAGAGTACTTAACTGATGTATACCTTTTAAAAAGAACAATCAAATTATGGAATCTTCAAACTGGGAAATGTGCGAAAACTTTACTTGGCCACAATAATGCAGTTTTATCAGTTCAGGTAAGCTGTACAACTTTTACCATTGAAACTATGTGCTTCTTTTACTTAAAATTATTTGTATTACTTCTATCAATATTGCTTTTACGTGTACTTTTTTCCACTTGTATAACTTTGATGACTAAAGGTATTACTCGTTCCAGGGTTGTCGTGCTCTCGTCATCAGTGGCTCAAGCGAAGGCAAGATTATGTTTTGGAATATTCGATTTGGGTCACCTGTAGCAATCATCCAAGCTCATGATGGTCCTTGTAACTCCATTGATATATGGGGAGACCATTTTCTCTCTGGTGGAGGGTACGTTGCTTTTCTTTTTATTAATGAGAAGTTACATTAAAATTATTCTTGATCATTTCTGTTTATTGCATTTTTAGGGATGCGTTAGTAAAACAGTGGGATATTGGTACAATGACCTGTCTACGTACTCTGCAAGGTCACAGAGGACCCGTTCAAAGTGTCAAGGTAATTTACGAGATATGTTCACAATGCTCATTTTGCTACGTTTTTCACATGTTTTTTTTTCGTGGTTAGATGAACTGGAATCGTATCATCTCTTCGTCTGAAGACGGAACTGTAAGAATATGGGATTTGGAAGATCACTTGCACAAGGTAGTTCAAATATTCCATTTGTTGTTTCTCTTCTTGCGTTTCGTGAATACAATTATCAGGACGCATTTTGATTTTTACTCAGTTTGACACAACACGTCATTATTAAGATTGTAAAATGATTGGCTACTACCTTATTGATGTCTATCGTTTATCACTGTATGGCTATGTTCAATATTTCTCATTACTCTCTGCTTGCTTCTCCTCTAGTGTCTACCTCTACAATCTCTTATTACTCTCTGTTTGCCTCTAGTGTCTACCACTACAATCCCTTATTACTTTCTGTTTGCCTCTAGTTTCTACCACTATAAACCCTTATTGCTCTCTATTTGCCTCTAATGTCTACTTCCACAATCCCTTATTTCTCTCTGTTTGCCTCTAGTGTCTACCACTACAATCCCATATTACTCTCTGTTCACCTCTAGTGTCTACCTCTACAATCTCTTATTACTCTCTGTTCACCTCTAGTGTCTACCACTACAGACCCTTATTATTCCCTGCTTGCCCCTTGTGTATACCACTGCAATCCCTTATAAATCTCTGTTCACCTCTTGTATCTACCACTGCCTAATAGTAAATGTGTTATTTTTTCAAATTTTATTTATTTCATTATTTAGTTTGGTGAACAACATGAGGAATACGTAAATTCTGTGCTTTCTTTCAACATACTTGAACTTGAAGAAGACAAATCATGAAGGTAAACTGCGCTGTTCATAAACAATATCAAATCGTAATATTTCATATTCACCTCTATTATGACAATGTGATCATATTTATCGCTATTTTTTAAATATATACTGCATGCAAATGTACAACTTACAATGGTTATAATACGAACACTTGGAACGGAAATTTTTGTATGTAAAACTGTAAACTTTACCAAATCAGAAAAGTGAATTTTATGAATGAATTCTGATAATGTGATTGTTTCAACCATATTGGCTACCTCAATACTCAAGAACACACATTCAATATTATGGTTAACTTTATACAACATATTCTTTACTTCTTTTTCCTATTTACATATAAAATCAATGTAGCTGAATTTTTATTTTCTTAAAATTTTGGCTGCTTTACTTTGGAAAGAAATTGAATATTAAAATGCCACTATAAAACAAATTCTATAATATAAATAAAAGCTACAACTACAAATACATCGATAAAAAATTGTTAAACATCCATTTCACGATTTGACGGATCTTTATTTCTTGTCAATATCTTACTCACACTACGTAGAACGCGACTAATTTCTCTACGATCAAATTGTTTCTTCAGAGTTTTTCTTGTTTAAATTATTTAGAAAACATTTTTTAAAAGTTGAAGTAATCGGACACTTTTAAAATTTACAATAATAAACAAATTGAAGTTTTAATTTTTCTTCAATGCTTACAATAGATGAAATGGCTGATTATAAATCTGATTAAAAAAAATTTATGCTTTTTATTCTAGGTTTATTTTCATTCATACAGTAGCGAAGCCTATCCGAACTTTAACTTCTTAAACTCTAATTTATCAGCAAAATTATTTATAAATTATTTATAAAATAAACTTTATTTATCTTTTTCCTTTGTAGAAGAAAAAATTGGTTTGCTTTGTAGCGTCGTTCTCATAAAATTAGTTTTATTCCTCCTAAATTCTTAATTTTTGTTTTTAATATTGTCATCATTGACCACATTTAAAAGATGCAATGATTTAAAGACTTTGTCCGTTATATATTTTATCAGCGATATAACTTCGTTCACTTTTAAGTCTTCGAAGCGTTTCCTGTAGTTCATATACTGAGCTTGATCCATGAAACAGTGAAAGTTTTTCCAAAGTACTTCTTCTATGTTGTCCGGAGAGTTTCTGACCAGTTGCCTGTGTTATCCATGGATGTTCTAAAGCTTCAATGGCATTTATGCGCTCATTTTGATCTTTTACTAACATCTCTTGAATGAGATCGTTTGCAAGGAAAGATACCGGCTCTCCGTCGACATTGCCAGAAAAATTCACCTCCGTTCCTATAATGGCATTGAAAAGTTTCCTCGTATCTTCTGACCAAAATGGAGGTGATCCATATAACAAAATGTACATTATTACACCACAAGACCACACATCTACCGGGTAACCAAGCGCCACTTCCATTATTGTCTCCGGCGCTAAATACAATGGTGCACCGCTTGGTGCACATTCAATACGTGTCTTCTCTTCCTCTAGTTTTCGTGCCAGCCCAAAGTCTACTAATTTTACGATACTTTTTGAGCCTGGTAAATTTTTATCTTCACATAGCATAATGTTGTCTGGCTTTACATCACGATGAATTATATGGTTTTTGTGTAAGTAAGCCAAGGCTTTTAGCAGTTGTTTTATGTACAGACAAGCGTTCTCCTCGCTATACTTTGACTTTTTTAATATTTCATCAAAAAGATTGTTACCGGACGCTAACTCCATGACAAAGAAGAATTTGTTATCTTGCAAGAAGCACTCATATAGTGTTATAATGTTCTTGTGTTCTAAACTGCTCCAAATTGTTGCTTCTTGTACTGCACGTCTGTAAGAGTCGTCTGACAACGAAGCTTTTTGTATTTTAACAGCATAATCAATGCTTGCATCGTCTTTACATTTGTAAACTTTGCCGTATGTTCCCCCGTTAATAAATTCACACTTTGTATATTTTGCGTAGAAATCACTGCGAAGTTCCAGTTTGCAGTTTTTCATTTCCTGTGATGTCTACAAGTGAATGTTATTGTGAGTTGACGTCAACATTTTCATCACAAATGTTATAGATTTGCTTTGTTTTCACCTTGGCCTTGTTAAGTGTATTCAATGTTCGGAAACGACTGTGGAGTTTATTTATTTTGTATAGTTATATATCGACCCTTTCAAGTTGAATGACTATCTTGTGAATTTGCAAATAATCTCATTCATTCACTCTATGACGAATTTTGTTGATGAACTTCTTGATTAATGTCTTTTGTAAAATGATGTTATCTCATCAAATGCTTTATTCTTTCCATCACACTTGTCAACATCTGCAACTCTGTAAAAAATAACACCTTCCTGTGGACTGTTTGTCATCACGGAATAATCTACATGCGCATTTTCCCATAGATTGAGAGATAAGCTCTTGAAATCGAAATAACACGAAAGAAGTGAGATTATCACACATGTTGTAGTTTCGTAAAACTAGTACTCATTGTGCAGATCAATTAAAGAGTCGCATTTGAATTTATAGAGTTCAAAGATCAACTATCTAGCACATTCCTCTATAGTCTTAGCTTAATATTGTGGTAGTTTTTTATCATCTCAAATCTTTCCATTTTTACACCTGAACTTCGCTATTTTACTTATGGCGTTGACTTCAATCTCAGTTAATGTAGATAAAAAATCTTTGGATGGAAGGAAAGTTGGAAATTCAACAAGAGATTGTATATTGCCAATCTTTTTATTCATAATTCGTGTTCTTCAGTTTGTTGCTTTGTGGAAATGAACTTTTTATGGCTTTGCGATGCCAAGGAAGGAAAACCATAATGGTTAACAAATCTAAATTTGTAGAATTTTTTGCCCTATGATATCAAATGAAATCATGGATGAATAATGAATTTGGAAAAATTTGGAAAATTGTTTGACATCATCATGTCCATGGTGGGATTAAAGATTACTACTATGGTGGATTAGATTTAGGATTTCGATTTTTCATGTCCAACCGAGCCAGCGATCATCAGTGACTATAAGCCCTGAATTTAAGTCGCGAGCTCCCCACGTCCTTTCTCCTTCATGTGGCCATCCGAAGAAAATCTGGTAAAGTATAAGTCTTTAAGAACAATATTTTCTCGTTATCTGAGAATGTTTTTGGGTTGCTGTACGTTTTAAACAGTTTCTGATAGTTTATTTTATCTTCCTTTTTAAGCACGGTTTCTAAGATGCAAATTTTCGTCAAGACTTTGACGGGAAAGACCATCACTTTGGAGGTAAGAAGGTTCACGTGTTCTTATTGCCAAACCAATAAAACATAACATTACTGCCTTTATGAGTAAGCTTTTTATCGATTCTTTCAGGTCGAACCAAGTGATACTATTGAAAATGTAAAAACAAAAATCCAAGATAAAGAAGGTCGTACATATATTCTTTGATATGTCTTCAGTTTATACATAAATAGCATTGTATTATGATATAGTTCAAAAATTCAGTCCAATAGTCAAGGAAATTTTTTCCCTTTCCTTTTCAGGTATTCCACCTGATCAACAGCGATTGATTTTTGCTGGAAAACAGTTGGAAGATGGCCGAACTCTTAGTGACTACAACATTCAAAAAGAGTCAACTCTTCATCTTGTTCTTCGACTCCGAGGAGGTGGGAAAAAGAAAAAAAAGACTTACACCACCCCCAAAAAAATAAAGCATAAGAAAAAGAAGGTAATTTACACATTAAAGCTATTATGCTACATTCATTAACTTGATAGAACAACCATTGTGTATACTTCAGGTTAAACTAGCTGTGTTAAAGTATTACAAGGTAGACGAAAATGGAAAGATCACACGCTTAAGACGAGAGTGTCAATCAGAATCATGTGGTGCGGGAGTTTTTATGGCAAGTCATTTTGATCGCCAGTATTGTGGAAAATGTCATTTGACTTATGTGTTTAACAAACCTAATGAAGGCAAATAAATGAATCTTTTTGTCTTTATAGTGTAGAACCATAATAAGTCTGTGTAATAAAACCACTTTCAATCAAACATATTTTTGTGTGTTTCTTTATTGCTAGCATTTATTTGTACAATCTCCTATCTTAAAAGAAAGATGTTATTTTTGAGTAATGGCTACGACAAACATTTCAATTTTGAATCTGTCATATTACTGTTGCTTCAGTATTTGTTTAGATACTGTGGAAGATTTATAAGAAAAACTATTTTTTGTGCAGGTGAAGAAAATGATAGCAATTAACCAATTTTAAATACGTCATAATTAGCTCAAATCAATCCTTCGGAATAACAACTGTCATGGCTGATGTATCGGAGAAAAAACCAGAAAAAATTTATAATGATTTTAAAGAGGTATTACAGCGTTGTTGCGATCTTGAAAACACTCTTCTCAAGAATGTTCATTTGCTGAATTGCATTAAGAATAAAGAGGAATTTGCAATGGAACAACTAGCAACAAGCGAAAAAGACTTTGAAACTGTAAGAAAAAGTACGGAAACACTGAAATGCGAAATTGACGAAAACGACGTTGAATCGGAAAGGTTAATAGACCGAAAAAACTTGCGACAAAGATTGGAAAACACACAAAAACTTTACGAAAAAAGTAAAGCGGTATTTAAACAATTACTGCAGGAAATTGAGCCAGAAAATTGTCCAAAATCTTGTAATGACAATATATGAAATGTAATTGTGTAAATTTTCATTTGTTGTTTGACTTTAAATGTATTTCAATATGATTAGTCGTTAACGCTTCTGCTGAAGTCATGTAGCAAATCATAAATCTCTTTAGTTGCTGTCACTTGTGCACGAACATGTGACAGATAGTCAGAGTAAACTTGCGTTGACATGTCTGATTCTGATGCATCTGGATTGCTTGTAAACATATTGCTTTCATTGGCCTGGATGAACGCTGTTCTTGCAACCATCTGGAAATAAATTAAAAAGCTTTCATACTTAGCTTATAACGTTTAAATCAATTCATATTTCATGTTTTTGACCACCTACAATATTACATTCCATCATGTCACAAGTATGATGAAATTCTTCTAAAGCTTTTGCCAACTTTGCATTTTGTTGTCCCAATGTGAGCTCCCTAAGACATAAACATGAAACATATTCATTATCATTAAAAAGTTTCAATTATTCTAGTAAGTCCAATATGAGCACCAACCCATCTCCGGTATTAACTGGTTCTTCAGATAATTGTAACTGCACCACTACACTGGCTTGCTCAAACAAACTCTACATAAAACCAAACATCATGTATAACATAAGCAAAGCCTTGTTGTTTGATTTATGATGATTATGGTTATTCCTACCATTACAACTTCCCTCAATAATGGTATGGAGGATTTCACTTTTGAGACTGGATCATCTGGTTCTTTAGATTTGTTTGTCATTTGAGAATTAGATTGTGGAAGTTGTGTTTGATTTGCATTACCCAATTGACCGCTTGATTGTGCAGCAGTGGCCATTTTCGAATTTTTTGTGTAATGTTGAATCAAAATGTGACTCTGACGGTCATATTATCAATCATTTCAGTTCAAGTCATGTTCACCACAAGGTATCTCATTGTTCTAAGAAAGCCGTAAACACAGAAAGTCAAGTCAATACCATTTGTCAATATACGCATGCTCACACTCACATTAAGTGGGGAGGCGGGATATCTAAAAGGTAAAAACAAACAATGGCTACGTCGCCTACATGTTGGTATTTTGGACATTTATCCATCAATTCTTTGGTTTCAAACGTTCAAATTGCTTGCAACGAAGATTTGATTGCTGCTCCATATAACGAGAAGTGTTTTGGCGTATGGAATATGAAAAAGCTTTGCGATAATGTAAGAATTGGGAGGGAAGCTGTCGTAAATAAATAAAAGTTTTGATGTAGTAAAAATATTGAAAGCCAAAATGCTCTTTTATAGTTTAATTTGTGAGAAAAATATCTGGAAGTACTTTTTATCTGTATTTTTATTATAAATTGCGCTTATTTCAGCCGATACTTTTTCATAAACACAAGAATATTATCACAGCACTGTCTTTTGGGAGCAAAAGTGAACCAATTATACTGGCAAGTGGTTCAGAAGATTGTGTTGTTGTTTGGTTCTTGGAAAAAAATTTTAATGATGATGGTGAGAACTAGTTTTCCAAATCTACATGATTGTCTGACTTCAGACATCTATTCTTATTCACTGTCTTTTGCTTGCAGGCAAGTTTTGCCATAAAATAAGAGATATCACTGTTGCCAAAGACTTGGGCTCGGTACAACACATCAGCTTTGATAAATCGCAAAACCTTATTAGTCTATGTGTTGGTAATGAAGTCTGGATTATCAAAATTGAGGTTTGCTATTGGGTGGTGTCAATGAAAAGTTAATGTGTTTTTTTAGTGAATAAATTTCATCAATTTAGACTTGTGAATTGAATGCTATCATCAAAGGTCATCATGGCAATGTAAATGCATCAAAATTCAGCCCACATGAAGATAATTCAATTGTAACTATTTCTGATGATAGGACCTTCAAGGTTTCATCAACTTTCCTTCAGTATTTTACTTTATTTCATTACTGGAAAAGACAAACATGAGTTTTTATGAGACAAAGTCATGAATGTTTTTAGATTTTTGATTACAAGGCAGGATCTGTTCTTTATCATTCAGCCATCATCTCTGGTAATCATATTTTTTTTATTGTCTGTGCATTAAATCATCAAATTATCTTTGATTTTTATTAATTTTTAAGCATATCCCTTCCTTTCCATTGATTTCCATTTATATCGTAACAAATTTAGTCTTGGTTCAGTTGATGGAATGGTTTGTATGAGTTTGCTTTTCTATATTTAATTTTCTTGCTTTTTATTTTTCAATGTAGTTATTCCTATTTTATGCATGAACATTGAAATCACATCCCTCCCTATGAATTTGTTGTTCTATTTAATGACTAAATCATTGTTGTTCATTTTAGAACATTAAAATTTCTTAATTTTTTGTATGAGCGTTTATTCTATGACAAGTAAATAATAAGATCAACTTTACCCTTTCCAATACCTTAGGTAAGAACTTATTCATTGGAAGGAGAATTTAAGTGCCTTCGTTCTATGGATTTGAACAAGTGCTATGCTCAATATCTGAATGGAAATCATGTTGAGATTGATTCTGAACTTGAGTCAAGTTTAGCAGTGATTGGACTTTGTTATAATAGATATTTTACTTCCACACATGCACTTTATGACAAGAATCACTATGCTATCAGGTCAGTTTCGTAGATGAAAGGTTTGTAATTCTTCAACCATTGTCCCTCCCTTCTGTCTTCTTCATAAATACATATCAATGAGCAATAGAGAAAAATGTATTAAGCACATTAAAGAACTCCTTTGATGGGCAAACATTAAATGTACATTGCCAACCTTCTTATTCATATAACTTTATTTGCAGTGAACTTGATGAGAGTGATGTGTTAGTGTGTGCAACTGTAAGTGCCATATTTGTTATTGATGTCAGCACTTGTCAACCTGTCAAGATGTTGGATTACCGCGGTAAATATCTGCGGAAAATTCAGTGTGTACTCACACATCAAAGTTTCAGCAACTATTCTTTAATATGCTATCTTTAGAACTGATTCCCAATGTTGATGAACCTTCCAAATTATGTGCTATCTCACTCAGCGGTTCCTGTGTGTTTGACCAACAACAAGAAAAAGTTTGACATTTCAAAAAACGTTCAACTTTGAACAATAAAACCATCATGTTTTTATGCCACATTTTTTATTCCTATTTTTTCAACAGATTATCTGTGCGTTTGGAAATCTATTTGACACCTCGATAAGTCTTCTTCACGTCAATTTAGCATTGAAAAAACATTCTGTTGTTGAAGAAATGGTATGCAGCTCTTAGAAACCGTCTTCTTTCATTTTCGGAAGAACGAATTCTAGGGCTACGTTCCTGCTTATCATCGTCAAAGCGTTCGGAGTTTCACTGCGGACAATTTTCACTTTATAAATTAAAAGTCTGATATTTTTTTAATTTAGCGTTCTAGAAACTCTAACTTCGTCGGCGATAAGTTTGATGATGGCTCAACGGACAATGAAAAATTCGAACTGTCCGTTTTGTCCAGGTAAATGATGACAGTACAGTGTAATGCTTTTTGTCTGTACTTAAAATTATACATCTTTTATAGAGTTTGTTTGAGAAAGAATTCACCATTGAGAGCAGAATTAGTACCAAAAGATCATGACAAAATTCTGCCTAAACGCGTTGTCAAGAGTAAGTTTTTTTTACGTTGTTCAAAGCTTTAAATCTCATTTACTTTATATTGATTTCTATGTTTGTAAATGTAGATCGTCCAGGTTAGTATAGTCCTGAGAAGGACTGTTTTTGTTGTTGTTGACTGACGTTTCGACAACCTTAGCGGTAGTCTTTATCAGAGTCAAAAGTCTTTTTGAATCTGAAGATGACTACCGCTAAGGTTGTCGAAACGTCAGTCAACAACAACAAAAACAGTCCTTCTCAGGACTTTATTAACCTGGACGATCATCATTTACAAACATATAACGATACTCCCGGGTTCAAACCATTTACTTTAAATTGACTTCTCCTGTCTATGATGTCTTCTTTTACCATAAAGATCCCGAATTGAATGCAAAAAAGAATAAAGGCACCGTCGTAGATCATCCTGTCACATTTAGGAAAATAATAAAATCTTCTGGTTATTCTGCTTCACCAAGGCAAGTTCATTGTTCGATCATTATTTCCACCTTTTCAGTTAAATCATATGTGATATACTTATGGGATGAATTTTTCGATTACTTGGACTTTTTTAAGTAGTTTAAAATATCAAGAGTTCATTCGTGCCCTCCCTTACACTCCTTAAGACATTAAACTTTAAAAATACTCGTCAGTTGCATGTGTTCAAATGACTGTAAAATAATTAAATATTTGAACAATACTTATAGTAACTATTGTTTTTTTAGAAATAAGATGTTTTCTCCAAAACTCAATCCAACTAAACAACCTCATGCAGGTAAAAGTCTTGAAAAGACAAATGAATCGAAGCAAAGAGCGCTTCATAGGTATAGTGAGAAACTTAGGATTTGTTTTTCAAACTTTAATCATACTTACAAAGTGTTTCTATCGTAGCGAAAACGAAGTATTATTATCGAACTATGTTATCCCTGAGGAATTAGAAGAGAGAATTAATATCTGCTCATCGTCTGTTGTCATAAATCAAATCAAATTTAATCGTAAGTTTAAATGACGTAATATCACATGACGATTGGTAATCGTCCTGATATCGTTTTGTTTTAATTTTAGATAATGGAAAGAAACTGGCTTGTGGCTTGGCTAATAACACCGCGTGTATGATAGATTCGACGCACACTAGTAAACAAAAAATATTTACAGGTATATTAAGGTTAAGTTAAAGAACATTGGTAAAATTGATTATCATTTTGGAAGAATACCTAGTCGCTACGTATTTTATTCCTTGATTCGATTGGCTACAGTTATCTGTACATCTTCTTTAATGAAACTTGACTACTATCGTTGACAAATTTCCATTTTATTTAGGAACTTTAATTTTCTCTACACTTTTCATCAAGGTCATAACGGTGAAGTTCACTCAGTTAATTGGAGCTTTGACGGACAATATCTTCTCACGAGCTCCAAAGATAATACCGCATGCTTATGGAGTGCGGGCACGACTGAACCATTGATATCATTTAATCGTCAAAATTACGCATCAAAGTCGACGACCAAGGTTTTTTTTATTTATCTTCTGTATCTTATACGGTCTTTTACATAATGCAGGAGGATAGTGTTAATTTATAATGTTCCGTGTCAAGTCTTGTTCGTTGAATGAACATTCTATTTATCAAATTTTATAATTGAATCTTTTTTACGGATTTTCAAGTCTTTATATAATGGAAATATTTAAATCTGCTTTAGCATTTATCTTATAGGATAATCTTTATCTTATAGGATAATCTTTATCTTATAGGATAATCCAATTTTTTGCAAAGGCTTAAATAGAGCAGCATTTTACTATGTTGACAAATTCATCCTGATCAGCTCCGGAAATTTCCTGCACTTATACAAATACCATTTGGATTTTAACAAGGACGATCTTAAGAGGTAAATGAAATTGTAAAGTGTAATCACATAACACGAAACAATGAGACGAAAAACTCTTGTAAAAAAATTAATTTGCTGTCAACATTTTGATAAAGCGTCATGCAACCACCGGAAGTTATTGTAAGTTCATTGCCCAAAGTAAATTCTTTTTTTACTGGGGATAATTTGTGTAATTTTCTTTGCAGATATCGGAGCAAAGGTCATTACAAACTGGTCACATCCTTGTCTCTTGATAAAGCTTTAAATATGACAAGTTTTACTTGTATAAACGGATTTTATTCTTGTATCCTTTTATGTTTAGCATTGTGCCTGTATAATTGACCAAAACTCCCGCATTTCTCCTCTCCACTTCTTACTTAAAAGCTTGGAAACCAGATTAGATGTTTTTCCTTAAATTCCTAGCTCTCCAGACATCGTAATTTGTGCAGGATCTTCCAGATCAATACAAGTATTTGATATGAATGTTGAACGTAGTCTGAGAACTCTTGAAGATGTTCACACAAGGAGCGTTCACTGTGTACAAATGAACGAGGTTAGAAAAAGATTTCGGTGGAATATGGAATTGCAACAGGGCAACGCCGTATCTTTACATCTTATTTTTTGTTAGGGGTCCAAGACCTTCTCACTCCCCTCTCAATGCTATGATCTATTTTTAACTGGAGCTGTTGCTGATGGTGTCAAAATTTGGGATTTAAGGAACACGAGGTGAAAAAAAGCAATGTTCAGTTTTTAATCAACATTCGTGTAATATTACATTCTAAAAAATCAGCTTTCACTTATTTTTAGTGCAAAGTTTGTAACATTGCTGTTTGTAGTTTTTTAAAGGCAGTTTTTTAAGCTTTGCACTATCCTTAAATGTTTAGTTTTCATGATCATGCAAGAACTTCAAACTTCATATAGATTATGCCGTATGTGACAGCGATAAAAAAATTGACATTTCATTTCGTCGCTACATTTAAAACCTAAAAGATGTGCATTATTATCCGTACTTTTTGAAGCATCTGCCATTTTAGAATTTTAACTGTGAAAATGTACACGTGAACTTTTCGAGGAGACATTTGCAGACCTTTCTTGTAGATGTGTTCGCAAATATGAAGGTCACGTAAGTCGAACTCATCCAGTTGGTGTGATGTGGAGTCCGTGTGGAAAATATTTCGCTGTCGGATCTGAAGATAAATCTGTAAGTTGTCGATATAGGCAAGCATTGATTTTTGTTAAAATCTAGTGCAGATCTACGCACATTTGACCAATGGCACTTAAAAAATCCCACAGTCTTATAGAAGTATCTACTTTCTCAACTTATGACATCAGCACCACTTTGGTGTTGGTTATTTGCGAATGCTTTGTGTTGAACTGCATTCTTGCTGTGCAGTATTTTTAGTTTTGGGCGAGAGATATTTATGTTTCAAACTCTTCAAGAACTGTCATTTTTCTCCACTCTCGAATTCCGTGTTAATAACCGTGTTTTACCCCCCAAACAGGCATACATCTACGATATTCGTCATAACTATCCTTTTAAACGAATTTCAAAACATTCTGATGTTGTGGTTGACGTTGCTTTTCATCCAAATAAATCACAGGTATAATGTAGCGAGCAAAAGTTGTGTTTCTTCGTAATGCTTTTTGTTCCTTGTTTCTGAGTAACTTGATGAAAAGAGCTAAAGAAGTTAATATACTTAAACTTCAGCTTGTTACAGCCACATTGGATGGAAAGATATATTTTTACATCGACAAGACATGATGATAACTTCCTGGACAATTCATCGTGAGTACAAGTAACGATCTACGGGTGTTACCTTGCGTGCGTCATTCAGGTAACTTCAACATGTCTCCATTTAAGGTGATATTTTACGACTTATTAGATTGACCTGATAACCATCGTTTTTCGATCAATCAATTATCAATTTGACATCATGTTATGTTCATAAAGCCAGTTTACTGGATAGCCCTTTCTAAATATGGATTATTCGAAGACGTATCCATGTCAGAAATTTTGAAATTTGACGTTTGGACGCACGTAATGATGTAATCACGTTTGGACGCACGTAATGATGTAATAATTTTAACTATTGACAATTCAATGTAAACAAATTTATCTTTACTAATGCTTCTATGCTATTCTTAAAAAGTAAGATTATTAGTTTTTGGTCAATCAAAACGGAATCAATCTTATTTAATGTCCCATAACAATAATGATGTAATCACGAGTTTCAGCTTTTAACACGTGCCTCTTATGCAAAGCTACGCCATCATTGCGCAGTTAATAGCATTATTTGATCATTTGATCAGATATTACCAGCTTTGCCTTTTCATAACAAAATTGCTCGAATTTCGTAAATTGTTACCTTGGCCACTTCTTCTAGGCGTTCACTTTTACTCTTCCGCTGGGCGGAATGACGTCTTTAATGTGGACGGAAGTTCGTCGAGTGATCAATCAAAAAACCGCGATGTTTTTTGACGAGAACGATGCAAAGTATTGGCAATGAAATTCGTTAACTATTTCCATCGTATACAGCTACTTTCATGTTCGGGCAGCTATTAAAAGCGATTGATTAACGAAAATATAATGCAATTGTAGTTCAATAGTTAAGACTTGCGTTTTAATTCATTTTGTTGATACATATGTCTTAATTAAATATTCTGTCATGTGACCTGTCACGGAAGCTAACTGTTGAGCATTGCAACATTTGAACTTTTATGCGGGGAGTGCGGCCTTATTACAAGAAGATAGGAATGAATTAAACTTGCTCTGATTTCATGCTTAATACCCGCAAATTACTAGAACAGAAGTACTGTCTAATTATTAAAAAGTATTGAAAGGTTTTGGAACTCATATAGTTTCGTTCCAGAGCGTATTCGGACGTCGATTACACTGGTAAGTTGACATATAATTTTCAGATTATCGCGCTTAAAGTTTCAAATGGATTTTGTTGCTTGAGTTTAGTTTACCAAACAGTTTATATTTGTTGATGATTGTGCGTAGTATTGTCGCTAATCCCTCAGTATTTTATTTAGTAATTCGTATTGCAATATTTATGCGAATTATAATGCATTTTAGAGTGGTTCTTGGTAAGATTCAATGATAGATTTGAACGAGAAACCGCGACGAAGTTTTAAACGGAAATTCGAAGAAAATGACCGATCTCAACCAAAAGAAACTTTACTCGATATTTCTGTTTCAAAGTTAGCTAAGGCTCATACTAAAGTAAATCTTGAACCATCTTTAAGAAAGACTGTTATGATTGTTAATACTATTCGAAAACTTGAATACGAAATAGAAATCGGACGAACAAAAACGCCGAACCATTCAAATTCTTATCGCCATTGTTCTCGGCAGACAACAAGCGACGAAAACACGAGGCAAGTTGATTCTACTGTATTTACACTGGTACGAACTCAAATTTCGATAGAGAAAGACGAGGAAAGCATTAAACCAACGTTGGATTCATGGAAAGGGGAATTTAATTTAGAAAACAATTCAGAAACGTCAAAAAACAGGTGTTCTAATAATACTACAACAATTGTAAAATCGTGTCCAAGCGACGATACGTTCATTGATCTAGCAAAATCTACCGAAATGAAATTCAAGAACAGATTTGACGATGCTGCTGTTTTGACGTCTTCGAACATTCTTACAACAGCTGAATGTGAAATAAATTTTTCAGAAGTTGATATTTCACTGTACGATTTTGATTCGTGGTCGGAATGTGGTCCTCAAATACCTTCTATTGATGATTCTGAACCAGTTTATACTATAAGACCAACTACTTTCTATAAACGATGTTGCGATGACTTGAAATTGGAAAAGTCTAATGAAACTAGTTTGGTAGATGATCTTGACCAAATCATGCAAGTGTTAGTTAGTATTTGATTGTGTTTTCACCACGAAGAAGCGACTTCTCTGTCGAACTGTATGACTATATCATTTCATGTAAATGTGTCTTCTCCTTTTCTATTTATACGGTTTTTAATCTCTGGGTATATGATGTCGGGTTTTGCATTTATTTGATATTTGTATTTAGCTAACTTATTAAACATTTGATAATGGTTATCAAAAAATATATATTGATCAAATGAACGGCATTGTTTGTGATCGCTTCTTTCCATAATTTAAATGAATGTAATCGTCTACAATATCCCGATATATAAGAGCAATATAATTTACAAATAAATTATCTACATATTGACAAGACTTGCTTCTTTGTTAAAGCAACACCATTATTGCCTATGTCCAACAACAACAATCAATTGTCAAAAAAAACACTATCTATTTTCTTCGTAAATAAGTTTCATTAAGTTTCATAATACGGCGTTTAAGAAGATACTCAAGCACAAAAAAGCGAATTTCCTGCAGTTAAATAGCCCATTTCATGCTCAAAGCATTTGAATAAATAGTTCACATGATGTTCACGTGAGATGAAGTATTGAAGCCAGATCGACCAGTATGTAACTGCCCATCACCCGTGATTTTCTTAGCTGATAAGCAATTATCCATTTACTATCCCTCTCATATCATAAGAGATCACGTTAACTGTGCCTTTATCAGAGCGATAATACCAGATGATAGTTAGACAAATTAAGGATATATTTTTTATGTAGTAGCCTTTCCTCTTTGTACATAGCCTTCTTTTACTTTAAAATAATGGTCGATTTGTTGGATCTTCTTTAGGATCCTGTGAACAGGTAGGTATCGTGTATGTTATCGATTGATAACGCAACATTGAAATATATAGGATGGAAAAATCAAAACAAGGATGAAATTATGTTAATCACAATATGGACAAACAAATGGATCCATTGAGTACCATGAAAGTCCCCTTCGTCCACTTGTTCATCCTGTTGTCCATCCTCAGCATATCTTTCCCTTCACTTCATCTCTCAAATCACACTGAAGAATGCTTAATATAGGCTATCGACGAAATTTGATCTCAATAGTTCCAACCAATTACCAGTAAAATAGTGAATCCAGGCATGTTGACGCACGTACTCAAAGATCAAGCATTTATCTTTACAAAAACGAGTGGCTCCAATACCCGCCAGTAATATACACTTATTCCCAAATTGATATTTCCCTAATTATGCATCCAATTGTTATGAAAATTTCGTTTAAGCCTCAGATATGTGCAATGGACCTTTGACATTGCCTATTAAAAATGTTCGGTTATCTGTGATGTCATGTCTCCAAAGCACATACAACATTTGGAAATTCCAATACATTAAATATAATCGGATCACAATTACGTTTTGTTTCGTCTACACTCGAGCTTACAAACGTTGCATTTTTCTGGCTACGACATGACGTCATTGCACAGTTGCTAACGGAGTTTGGTTGCAAATAAGTAATTTCCATTGTACTGGTTTTATCTTGCCTTGTTAATAACTGCTGAAGATCATCATAATCGCTTTTCAAGTCACGTTCTGTGTTCGAGTTAAGTATATCTGTAACATGTAAGCGTGCTCTTTTTCTGGGAAGCGTGCTGGCGAAACAACCAGCTGCTTTTTCTTTTGTGCCTCTTTCGACAAGCCTAAAATCGCGAGTTGATGAAAAATCGCGACTTCTGAGACGTTTTAACGTATTTCCTATAAGGACTGTTTTACGTAGGCAGCTCTCCGGGTCCTCAATACGCTGAAGTTTATGCGCAGATAGAGTTAAAACTTTTGTTTCTCGTCTTCTTCGTGGCATTGCGATAGAACGGGCTTTGAAGCTAAAGCATTGTTTGGGTCATCAACTATGTTAAACGCGTGAAACAAACATAAGAAATACATTTTAATTAAGGCAACCCCCTGCTGCAAGTATATTGCTACCGCTAATAAATCATATTGCATTATGACTTATGCAAAAATTGTCTGGAATTTATTTTATGCCCGGGAATAAATCAATGATAAAAATGGCTTAAACCGACTTACGGCTGCCAATGAATTTGGAGGGAAGAATTAATTATAGCCGAATAGCAGGTAATTGGAATCTATGTACCTTCAAAACAGTATGCATAGTCTAAAAATTCCAAATCTTCTTCTGCAGTCTTCCATTCATATAGGAAAGCAGAATCATCAATCGTTTGAGCGTCCATTTGATGTAATAGAGTTTGAATAAGTTATCTTAGCTGTGATTGTGATCATGGCATAAAAGCAATTGTTCGCCACACTTCTAAATAGAAGACAAACGTCATTTTGGCATATAATAATGGATAATAGGATGGTAGATTGGGATGTGTATTAACTCGTTTAAACACATAATATTGATATATTGTTGTAAGTAAAGAGAACGGAACAAGCAAATCGATATGATATGTCTATCCATATTTACCACTTGTTGTTAGTTGTCTATCTCTAGATAATTACTTTAAAGGTAAATCGTCGTTTCGATATCTCCCATTTAACCGAAATTTTTTATGTAATGCACTTGTTGGTTGAAATAATTCATTATTATGCGTATGTACTAGCGCCTATATTCGCAGTTGCCCTGACACTAAACTGCTATCTAATGAATTAACATTAACATACAAACTTCCTAAGGTCAGAATGGTTCGATCAATAGAGAGATGTTTCGTCTCGTTTCATCGATTTATCTGCCCGACACATTTTTGCTACATATGCACTTACGTGATTCAAAACATACGAGTCATCGAGTTGAGATTACGATACAATATTCGAGGTTCTTGACAACTTTGAAAATTGTCTTCCAAAAAACATCTGCTCTTTAGCACTTTACGTCGCCATTCTAATTTTTTTTGAAAGATCAACATCAGAAGGGCTTCGTTACGTCACAATAACGCAACTCGTGATTGGCTATATTACATTGAATGTTGTCAATTCAATATAGTTACCTGCTCATTATGTATTCATCCATAGCTACAAAGCTTTGTGCCGCCACATATAAACTCTGAATTTATTCTTAACATCTCGACTCTGCATTCATGGATGGAACTGCTCAATTACACAATTCTTGTAACTTATGTTTTTCAATGTTTTTCCATCTCATGGCTCATGCTGTGATTTAAAAGTCACGAGAAATGTTAACATTAGTATGCTATGTGACATGTAGTATTTTCATTGAAAAATTGGTCACAATCTCATCAAATTTTTGCAGCGATAAATTCATTCGATAATCAGTACTTCGTGACCCGGTGACGTGTGCAGCACTTGTATCCAATACTTTTGTCCCCTTTGGCGTAATTCATAAACGTCACGACAACTTGTCAACATGTCGTGCCAAAAGCCTGAGCAGATGAGTCAAAGTATTTTACCGAAATCATTTTTCGACAGTTTGGTCGTTTACTTCGGTCATTATATTCAGTGGCTAACTATAGAGGGGGGCGATAGGACAAGTATGGCTTGTTGTCGGAAATTTATCTGCAGCGCAGCCAGGATTTTCTGTGAAGCGATGCATAAAAAGAAAAGAAAGGGGGCCTTAACTTTCGCTTAAACCATACAATGTATGTAAAACATAACATTTTAGGGGGGGGGCAAGAATTTTCCCAGGGATGGCCTGGCTCCCAACCCTCCCTCCTCTGTCTACATTGCTAAAATATATTTTACTTTATATTGCACTATGTGAAGTGTGCACCTTAAATAATACTAGATAGAAAATGAGACCAGCTTTACCGTTAGCCTGCGACGTGTGGCGTTTTGTCTTTTGTCATTTGTGCATTTTATCTTATTCATACATATCTTTTTGCGAATTTAATTTCGCACTTTTGCCTTTGAAATATAGTCTCAAGTTTTGAGATATTAGAGAGATTTAGCAAACACGACGTATCGTCTAAGAGGTCGTGAAAATGGCGTAAAAATGGCGTGATAAAAAAGACGTCGTGTTCGCTAAATCTCTCTATTTGTCTCTAAGTACGACTGTGTTATAATTTACACAATCCCATACCCCATGAACTTTTAAACATTAACTTCATATTTCTTCTGCATTTTTGTTCTGATATAAAGGCAGCTACTGACAAATTGGACAATCGGCCCCTCCCACACCCACCCCCCAACTAGAAAATTCCAGTTACGTCATAGGTTATATTCCTTCCTAGTAGATACAAATTTCTTCGCGTTCGAGAAAGAGAAATTAGGAAGAATTCAAATTTAACTGAAGGTTCAGTTTGACTGAATACGAACGTAATGGCATAGTGCGGCGGAAAGAAAATTTATAAATAGTAGTTAAAAGCAAAACTGGAGGTGCCGGGGATTGAACCCGGGGCCTTCCGCATGCGAAGCGGACGCTCTACCACTGAGCTACACCCCCGACAATTTATTCAGCGCTTAGTTAGTTGAAAAACTTATTTTTTTTTTCAGTATTAGCTTTCTTTCTATTTCGTAGGATGAGCATTGAGCTCTATAAGACCTGGAGGGGCAAAGGGGCCTGGGCCTCGTGGTCAAAAACATGGCGGTAATGGCGGATTTTGGTTGTCAAAACTTCCACTTTGAGAAAAATTTTTAACATTCGCTCCCTCCCGAATCCGGATGTCTATTCCTGTGTGTATTAATGACAACTAGCGAAAACAACCACGATATCGTAAGCATAAAATATTGAAAATAATGCTTCAGGTTTTTGTGAAATAGACACACACATTTAAATGAGGTAAATCTACTGTAAAATAGCGTATATGTTTTCAAGTAATGCTTTAGCTATATTAGAAATAAATATCAAACGGCATTCTTTACACTGTCAATGTGTCGTTAAGCTTTAATGCATAATCCCATGCGCAATACTTGTGTTTTTAAATATTTGTAAACAGCTTGGTGGAACTGTCTTTCTTGAATAGATGGGTAAATCTTAGTTAAAATGTCCAAAAAGGAGTTAGAAAAAGTTAGCTTACCCCTACGACTTAAGTCGACTGGAAATATATTATAAGTAGGTATGTAATTTTTTTGAGTTTTTTTTGGTAGGATTGATTCTGGGTGTCTTATAAAGTATTATGATATTCTGATAAATCTACTGAGAACTTATGAGGAAAATATCTTGAACTAGGAGAGCAAAAGAACGAAATTCAGAAATTCTCTAATCATGTTGCTGGTTCTGTTTTGAGCCAAGATATTAGAAATTGGATTGTTATTGACAACCATGGATCTACTACTGAACAGAACTACATTAATTTCCCATTTAAAATACTATTTCTTAAATCAAAGTGCATTGTTTTCTCTGACATAACACTTTTCTTATTGCTGCATGAAGGCAAACCTGTTAAGATAATTATAATGTAGGTGAAGATATTTAGCAGGTTGTATAATTGTTATTATACAGACATTATTTATGATATTATGGCCTTGTGTAATGTATGTCAAGAACTTATTTTTCAAAATGCTAACCTTACTTTTCTTTTGTTTCCTTACAAATTACAGTTACTTATACTAATTTTTCTAGGTTCAAACAACTTGACAAATTTTTGAATTTTACATTATGCCATTGAATTTTCTTTTTGTCTTTTGGTAAAATAAGTGAATGACTTAAAATCAAGTTTATCTAAAATAGTATTTTGTACAAAGTAACTATACATAATTGGAAAAGTCTCATGTTGAAGGCAGATGTGGCTTCTTTTACTAGATTGCTACTCTTATTCTTTTAAATGATATCGTAATTCTTCATAAGACATAAAAAGTTCTTTGCCATTAATTTTTGCTTCTTCCACATTCAACTTCATTGCAACCAATGCATCTTATGTGAATTTTTAATCACCTGGAATTGAAAGACGTATGGATTTTGTCAGATGATGCAGTACTGTATTTAATGTTTCATGCATGTCATGATAAGCTTTTCTTGAGCAAATATTTCAAGGTAGGAACAAAATTTGGTACATTATTGAACAAAGTAGTTTTTATCTTGATTTTGATGTACTAACCTGTTTACTACACTGTGTAACAAACAATTCATTTACAGAAACACCAGATGGCATTTATAAACTTTTAGCATAAAGCAAACCTTTACACACCATCATCATGCTTGTTCAAATCTGTCAAATTGTCCAGGCTAGCTGTTTAATACAGGTAATTTTTATTGTACGACATGTACCAAAGAGCTCATTAATTAATCCTGCACTGCATTTGATTTCAATACAGCTCTGTCCTTAATATTTGCTTCATATTTTCAGAAAAATATCATGAAAAAATCCTCCATTTCAACTCAGTTGAAACAAGGAGTTTTAAGATATGCATATCTCGATAAGAACTGGTTGCTTTGCCTCGTCTAGCAATCGATTAAGTAAAGAACAAATAAGACTGGATAAACATAGCTTAAATTATAACTTAGGAGTAAAAACATTCACAAAATATATACCATCACACTTCAAGTATTGACTTAAAACAAAACACTGAACACTTTAAATAGTAAACAATCTTACGTTGCTTACCGGTGTCATGAAATGTTTCCTTTTCTGGCATTACTTCAGCATCCGTATAGCAAACAAGTTTGCAGCATGTTTTAAAGATAAAATTTCTAAAAGTTCTTGTGCTTGGCATTGATATTTTATATAATCGCAATTGTGGTTGTCAAATCCGGGTGGGCGAAAAAAATTTCATTTTATGAGCCCGCGTCTTTCCGCTGACTTTGACAACCAAAATCCGCCATGTTTTTGACCACGCGGCCGCGCGCTGATAATTTATAGTAATTTTGTTGACGTTTCCCCTCCAGGTCTTATAGAACTCAATGAGGATGAGTTATGAGTGGTTATGAATGGTTACGAAGTACAGTGGAGTCATTTCAGACTTTCTGTTAACAATTTTCAAAACGAAGAATAACTTCTATTGGATAACTAACCGAGACACATAGAAAGCATTTTCCAAACAATATTATTGTGAAAAGTATACATTGCGATAAATAATTGCAACACTCATAAAATTACATTCAATTTTACATACAAGTACTAAGTTATATTAAGTGAGCCTTCGTTTTTTCAATTCCGCGGTCAAGAACTATACATCTCCCATACTTTATGTAAAGCAATGTATCAACAATTTGTAAAATTAGACTCCATCAACGCATTCTAAAGATAAAATTTATACAAACGTTTTTTCAATATTTACCAGTGGTCATCTTTAATCTATTGAATTCTTTGTGGTTGTCTCAGTTTATAATCATTATGGTAAGTGTTTTTTAATTTAATAACCATTTAAGTACCCGAAATAACGTCGAAAGTTTCGTATTTATTCTTTCATACGACAACTTGATTTGAATCTGTGTAGACTGAAAACTTGTGTGTTTCTTCACAAACGAAATGCTGTACCGTTATTTTTATGTTCTTATTGTAATATGGATTTTTTTTGCAAGTATCATCAAAAATTCGAAGCTAAATTTCTTTCGTTTCGTTTTCACCACCATTGACCACCTGTTGTAAGCGAGTGTAGCTATTTTAAAATGTTTTATCTGATAATCTCTTTACGTGTTTTGTTTCAGCCACATACCATCTTATTGATTCAGCCTAATCGCCAAGAAAGTCGGACATATGCAGATTATGAAGAACTTGAAGATTGTATGGAAGGTAAGTTTTCTTTAGATTGTGTTTCAGGAGGATTGAAAAAGGCTCAAAACTTTCTCTTCCTTGAGGATAATAATGATTTTCTACTTTTCTTATGCCTATTATTCAGGTGTATGTAAAATTTATGAAGAGCATTTAAAAAGATCCAATCCTGACAGTCCTTCCATTACTTATGACATAAGTCAACTGTTTGACTTTATTGACTCATTGCAAGACGTTGTTTGTCTTTGGTAAGTAATTCAAAAGAAAATCTTTAGTATTGATGAATAATTTTAAATGCAATGAACTACTAATCATGTAATTTCTTGTTCATGTAGTTTGGACATAAAAAGTGGAAATTATGAACCACATGATAAAGAATGGGTGAAGGAACAAATATATTCAATGTTAAGGAAACAGGCGGGAAAGAATTGATTTTCTGTCATTGCATTGAAGATTTCGTTGTGTTATGTGGGAAAAACGTTTGATCATAGTAATAACAATAGAAACAATTTGTTTATTCATTAAAGTAGTACTTGCATGAAACTTACTGTGTACAAAATGTTTATGATTTTGATGGTCTCCCTTTAAGAAAGTAAAATGTACATAATGCATTTGGGGGAGTTTTTTTTTATTTTTTACTTTGTGTTTAATGTGTTATAAATAGCAATGTTAAATGTAGAGTTTGTTATTTGATGTATTTTTTCCAGATAAATATTTTGGAACATTGGAGAGTATGCTATATGCTGGCAAGATTTTAATTTTTTGGGGGGTGGGGGCAAAACACCGCCAAAATGTCACAAATATATTAAGCTCAGTTTCATTAAATGGACATATTCAAGTTGTGTATATAAAGCATTATTATAGAAAATACTGGAGGGTGACTTCCCCCCCCCCCACTCCCCCCTTTGCCAGTGCCACTGTTTTCCATCAAAAAAGTTACTTGTTTCTTGAGTTTTATTTTCTATTTCTCACTCTATTTTCTAAACTTGAAAACTTGAAACAGCTTGTATCTTGTCCCACTTCCGTTTTCATGGTTCTTTTCTGTAGATTGGGTTCTATTTCCCAGGATGCAGGAAGATCATTGGGAGACGAAATGAAAATGAAGCACTTGCACAGTTTCAATTTTGAATTTTCAAAATGGAAACACGAGTCCGGTTGTGAAACATCAAAAGACATGAAGATGAACAGTTGAACACGTTTGTTCGACTTTAAAGTAATATTGTTGAGAAAATGTCGTTTCAAGCCCCTCCACAGCCGAATATGGTCCCTCCTGTTGTGCAAGGGAACCTGATGCCTGGTTTTATTCCTCCACCTCCAATACCACCTGTCTTCACTGGCTTTCCACCGTCATCTCAAAACCAACAAGGTATAAGGTCTATTTTAAGAACGTAGGAAAATTTTGAGTACATCTCATGGAAAGTTGGTATTCAGCTTTGTTTTATTTTTGGCTTTTATAAATAATCAAGAAGATTATTGCTTGACTTCATCCCTGTTCCACTATCAACCTGAATTTAGTAGTTTTATTGAACGTTTTTGGAGAGTTTTTCTCATTCATATTTAACCCTCACAAAGCAATATTGAAAAGTATTTTGTTTAATGCTTTATTGTTAGCCCATGTATATAATTTTGTTTATTTTGATATAGGTGGTCCAGGATTTTCTAATAACTCTGCTGTAAGATATAGCAACAACTATCAAATCATATAATTAAGACGAGGAACTTTCATGCATTTTTTTGAGTTTTTTTTTCTCATGTAAAACAGCAGAATAACCAAAACAGACTTCAACCACATTATGCAAAAAAAGCAAGTGAATATTATGATAAAAAGACTTTTCAACAGGTTTGAATTTGTGTTGTTTGTTTGTTCAAATTGGATGAAATGTAAAAACACATTTTATTGATAAAGAATTTCAAACCTCCCAATGGGAAAGCACCAACAGTTACAGTTTTTGTTGGTAACATAACTGAACATGCAAGCGATGCTCTCATTAGACAACTATTAATGGTATGTAGACTACATCTGCATATTTACATAATTGTTGTGTTTTTGCAAGTGTCAAGTTGCTTGTGCCTATTGTTCAATGCTATAGAAATGTGGTATTGTTATTAATTGGAAGCGGGTTCAAGGGGCTGATGGTAAACTACAAGGTATGTTTGTTTGTCAATAAACTTCAATGTCTTATGAATATTAGTTAGATTTCACAACAAGATTCTTTTCTACAGCTTTCGGCTTCTGTGAGTATGTTGATCCTGAAACTGGACTTCGAGCCATTCGCTTGCTTCATGATTTGTCATTTGGAGAGAAAAATTTAGTGGTATGCGTTTACAATATTTGTCCAATTGGAGTTTGGAGAAGGAAAATGTAGAAAATTGGAGTTTTGGTTTTTATATCAGGTAAAAGTTGACCAAAAGACAAAAGAAATGCTTGAGGAATATAAAAAGACAAAAGCAGGAACAGAAAATGTAAGAAATTAAAGTCTTTGGTTATTATGTTATACTGTGCTAGTTTTATTCCATTATTCATTTACTTTCAGGAAGAAGTCAAACAGGATGATGATGAGCTAGATGAGGCTACAAAGGTCTGTGTATTTTTTATATTTCATTAAACATTTAGCATAACAAGAAATTTTAATGTTAAAACATTAAAAGATTAATGTTAAACATTTAATGTTAAAACATTAGAATTTCTTGTTATGCTAAATGTTTAATGAAATTTAAACTTCTAGAGTCAAGATGTTGAAGTGAAAAATGCCATTACTGCATTGTTAAATGAAAACTCAGATGTCCTTTCAGGAAATTCAAAGGTTTGCATTCAAATTTGCTTACTGACTTTGTAGGAAGCTTTGCCGCACATTTCTAGTCCCGTGAAATTTTCGTAAAAAGAAAATATTTTTTTCAGCTCCTGTTTCAAAGTGGAGGCAAACACATAGTGGCAGTGAGGTAATGCTTAAACAAAACTGTTACAGCATGAGATTACTTATACTGACTCATGATTTGATAGCAGTGGCAAAGTCAGCCTGCAAGTTTTATTTGTGCTTTGTGAATTTCAGATCATTATTACCATTCATTTCTTTTCAGGCAATAAAAAAACATATGAAATTAAATAGTAATTAATTAATGTAGTTTGTTGTTTTTATAAATTCATTTCTGTTTCACCTATTGAAACCATCGTGGGGTGGGAAGTACAATTGAAATACACGTGTTTTGAATGTATATTTGGATTTTTTCATTTCAAAACTGACATTTCTTTTCTTAAGTCTTTGTCTAAGTAATATTTTCAGCTATTGAAACAAAGAGAGCCTGGTTTGAAGAAAATCATGATTTTTGAACATTAGGAGAACTTGGAAGGTTTGGGAATGGACAAGGAGAGAAAACATTTGATATCAAAAGAGATTCGATCCTTTAGAGATACATACAAGGTAATTTTGGTTCACCTTCTACTCAGCATTGTTCTAAACTATCCTTATTAATCCATAAACGTTTTGTTAACCTTTACAACCATATTTTGAAATGTTTCCTTACAACTTTTTTGTATACTTAAATAGTTGATTAGATTTTTGTCCATCCATGTGAATATAATATTTAGATACTAAAGTCTAGTTTAAAACTACATAGAATGACTATATATCATCTCAAGATAACTTAGTTAAGAAACAAATAAATCCAATGAATTGTACATTTGGGTGTTAGGTGAGGCTCTTACTTAACTATATTATTGCCCACAAAATAGTGTCGAGATGACGAGATTTTGAGAAAACACGTGGCTACAGTTTTGTCATAATTCCTCTTGTTCTTAGGCATGAACCTACGGTAGGGTAAGTCGCAATAAAATCACATCAAGAATATATATGCTTGTAGAGCTAAACAAAGCCATACTTCGTTGTCTTTATTTCCAAGAAAATTGTGGTATAAAATTTTGTGAATGTAGTTGATCGTAATGTAAGTTGGGATTTTAAGAAAAGTAGTATTTTTTTGCCTAACAATCTGTGCATTTGTTTTCAGGTGGAGTCAGGTATTCTTCAATATTTTTAATGCAATTGTTCTGTGTATGTTCTAGTAAAGTATTGTGTACCACTCTAGATCGTGTTAGATATATATACATTCACTTACGGCTTTCTTGTTTACAACATGTAGTTGTCTTGTTTTTAAATTTCTAGCTTACAAATAGGTATGTTTGAGTTTATAAAATCAATTTTTTCTTGTTGGTTGCTCAAAGAATATAATAATCAGTGTTAACCACGGCACAAACAAAAACTTGGAACTTTCAAGGATGAAATGGTGTTTTTCAGGGTCACAATTCAATAATTTGTTTTGTTTTTACTTAGCGACATATCATCAAAATTACCGTTAGAGTAATCTCATATTTGAACAGCCGGCCCAAATCCCAAAAAACAGCATCGAATCTTCCTTGTTCTATTGTTTGAGCAGTGAGTTTGAGGCTTTGAACTATAATATTATCTTTTTAAAATTGCTTTATTGTTTACTTGTTTATATCTTTTTCTATCTCATGTAGCGTCAACTGTATGTTTAACAATGAACCAATTCTCTCTTTCTGCTCAAATATGCTATGTTTTTATCTAGTTTGTTTATTTTACAGGACTCACAAAAACAGCAAAAGGATGAAAAAGACGAGGACCGTGGAAAGGAGCGCGATAAAGCACGGCCGCGCAGTCCTGATACTGAGTCTCGAAGTAGAAGTTTAGAACGAGGCAAAGATCGCTCTGATGACCGCAGTAGAAGTCGAAGCAAGGAGCGTGATAGAGATAGAGATCGAGATCGGGAGCATAGAGAACGCGACAGAGAGAGACGAGATCGTGATAAAAGGTTGTGAAAATTAAACATGTATCTTTTCTTCTTGGGGATTTCCTTCATTTTCTTTCAAGACTGTACTTTTACTTCCGTATCTGTCGTGTATCTATAGGGATAGGGAACCTGAACGAAGAGACGACAGAAGAGATCGCGATATCCGGGATGGTAGAGGATCTTCAAGGTCAGCTAGGGATAGAGAAATAGATGAGGATGATTCGTATGAAAAAAGAAAACGGGAAAGACGGCAGAAGGAACGAACACAAGCGTATTTAGAGGTAAGGTGCTTATAACGGATTTGTTGTACTGTACGCGATCAACATAAATTAACGTTGAATGTATTCTCAATATAGTTTTTATGGTATTTATAAAATATACATTTATAAAATCAAACCTAATCTTGGTGGACTCTAATCTTTATAACGAGAATTCCATTTATCTCATTGGTGACAGCAATCATAGATTTTTATGTAAAAATTAGTGAAAGTCAGGCTTTATGTTGTGAAAGTTGACTTTATTTTTGAAAAATAGTTCCGAATAGTTCCTTATAACGTATTTTGAATCAACATGTTTCTATAAAATATTCAGTGGCTCTTGACACATTGAAAGTGTGACATTTTTCTTTCTTGTTTCCAATTGAAGCGTCTGAAAGCTTGGGAGGCTAGAGAAAGGAAAAAAGCAAGAGAATATGATCGCGAAATTGAGAAAGAAAGAGAAATTGAAAACGAACAAGTAGGAAAGATAATTTAATTGTTATGTATGGACGATGTTTGTATTTGCTTATCGGAATTAAAACTTAAAGACACTTTGATATATTTATATGTTTAATTAAAAACTAATAATTTTTTATTTTACAGTCTAAAGAAAAGAAACATTTACTGGAGTTTCTTGAAGATTACGATGATGATCAAGATGATCCGAAATATTACAGGTTTTTAAAATCATTTAAAAAGCTGAAAGACAGCTGTTTTTAAATAATAACGACAGTTTTCAAAGAGTATTTTTTACTGTAGTCGTTAACTTGCTGCTCTACAATAATGAACAATTATCGTTTACTAAGGTTTCAGTTATCGTTAAATGATTCGGTAACATGATAACTTTATACATCACTTTCTTTGCAAGCTAACCCAATTATCTCCATTTGGCATATACAGTCACTTCTTTAAACAAATATGTTTTAAGAATATTTTCTATTACCAATGTTTCAATTTACAATATTTTACGTTTCGTCTATAGAGGCAGTTCATTTGACCGACGTTTGCAGTCTCGTCTTCAAGAGATGGAAACAGACGATAAAGATAGACAACGCGAATTAGAAGAGATCGAAGAAATCAGAAAAAGACTGGGGGATAAGGCATTGGCTGTAGAACCACAAGAGGAACCCATGGTATGCGGCAATAGTTCGGATTGTTTTAATTGAAGACAATTTCGCTGGCGCTTTTCAGAATCTGATTTGTATCTGTGGAATTTATGTTTCTCTTCTTTATTTTTACTATATATTTGCCTTTTTTTTCAACTATTTTTCTTGTACAGCAGCAAGATTCAGAATCTGAACCAGAAGCGGAGCCTGAACCGGAGCCAACAAGACCGACACTACAGGCGACCTTTAAACCAACTGTGGCTCCAGTGGTTAGTATAGTTTATATGTGGCTATATTTCAAAAAATATGCAATAAACAGAATATGAAAATGACCTTAATATAGTGACTGTTTGCAGACTGCAGTTGTTCCCCCCACGTATGTATGGTAAACATGGGTAGTTCTTCGGGGGGGTAGTTATTCCCCACGTATGTATGGTAAACGCGGGTAGTTTTTCAGGGGGGGACTGACTGTTCAGACATAGCCGGAAGAATACATCAATACAATGCCCTGGTTTAGCAATAAATCATTGAATTTTTCACTTTGAATAAACTTCTCCATGAATGCTGGCTACTCCTCTTCCCGTATCGGGTTTAATGTTATACAGTAACTGCTTTTCAGTATACAGTTTTTCAAAAATGGTTAATTATTCTATAATTGTTTGCTAGGTGGAAAGATCTTCTCGGAGTCCTTCACCTGTAAAACAGCATGACACACAAAAGTCGTTCTCCACAGTCAACAACCAACAACTTCAGCAACATTCTTTACAACAACAAATACAACAACCACAAAAAACGATGCAACTGCAACATCAAACACAGGAAAGCGAAGTGGACGCAACGAACGAAACTCCTTCACAAAAGAAAACTTTTGTTCTTGAAATGAAAACAAAAGGACCAGTAGTATGTTCTTTAGTACTGTTCACTGGAAGACCATGATGGTACGAGAAAACTTATTAATCTACCCGCTTATCCCTACTTTCTCACTAACAGGCCTCCGACAGGAAAAAACTGGAAGCAGTCTTTAACAATGAAGAGGATTCACTTTCTGCCTTGGCGCCAAAGCGTAAACTTGTCCCTCTAGATTATTCTGAAGAAGAAAAAAATGCAGTCGCCACAGCAAAGAGTGCAGAAGAGAAAAAGAAAAGTATAAAGACTCTAATAGAAAGAATTCCAACGGCAAAAAATGAACTTTTTGCATATTCACTTGATTGGGAATGTGTGGACCAGGTACGCTGTTCCTTACCTTATCCAAATAACTCATGGGTTTTCTAACTGTCGTTGTTTTTTCAATGCGTAAAGATATGTAGTTTCTTGCCTGTCATCTGATATTTTTTACTGGTTATTTATTACACCTAACGGACAGCACACAAGACATTTTGGTGGATTGAAGCTTTAGTTAATCATGGGAACAAAGTCGTAAATATTCTAGACCATATGAGAAACAGAAAGATGAATTTTTCACTTTCTATTTAGAGTTTGATTGATCGTCGAATTCGTCCTTGGGTAAATAAAAAGATTGTTGAATATATTGGAGAAGAAGAGCCAAGTCTTGTCGAATTCATGTGTTCCAAAGTACTGTAAACTTTTGAATCAATAACATTAATATTTCACCAGTTCCAATACCATAATCATTACTAAAAGCCTCTCTAATGCTTTGATAGAAATACCTCTGATAGTGGTGTTTTGATTAAAACTAGAACTTCATAATTAATGAAAGATGCTATACATATAATATGTTAATGTACTATGTACAAGTAATGTAATTTGTTGCTTATTATTTAGCTCCTTGCAAGAAGTCCACCGAAAATATTCTTAAAGATGTTTCAATGGTAAGATGAGGGCTGTTAAATGCACAACTCTTACTGCATGTGACAAAAAAACTTTTGCAGCTGATAAATATTCATCATTTGTCTTTTGTTTTTAGGTTCTTGATGATGAAGCTGAAGTGTTTGTTGTGAAAATGTGGAGACTGCTTATTTATGAAACAGAGGCAAAAAAAATTGGATTAGTTAAGTAGAAATGACAACATCTTTGTAATCATGACTATATAAGTTGCCACACACTTTTATTGTTTATCTGCTCGTTTTTGTTTGCCTTAACAACCCTTGAATCATGTTTTGTGAAAACGTACTCTGGTATGGCCTATCCATTTCAATTGGACATCACAGTAACTTGAAGTCAATGTTTTGCAAATATAATGACACATGTGGAAGAATTTTCAAGTGGAAATTGGCAATTAAGCATACAAAAATGGTTTTCAATCAATTCATGTCCATATGTTATTTAAGCAAAATTTCATACTAAGTAAAAGAGAAGAACTAATTACAGACTGTTTGAAACGTTTAGGTCATGTAATTTTGGTGAACTTTGGTTTGAGTTTAGTTCGTATTTTAACCTCCATTATAACCTGAACCAAACAATATGCAACAGCAAAAAACCAGAATATGTTCCAAGATGAACCTGCAAAGCAAGTAATGATAATTCAAATTATAATGGTAAATTATAGATGTGATGTGGAAGGGAATTTTTTAAAATGCACTTTTATATACAGTCAAATCTACCTTTAAGAAAAACAGCTTTGAGGTAGGCTAGTATGGGGTGAATGCCAATAAGGAATATGTTGTTACTAAGTATTCCAGAAATTAGTGAGCACATGCCAGCCAAAGCATGAAGACGTCTGGTTGTAGGTGATGACATATTATGCTATGACACAAATTGTTAATGAGCAAAATGATGATCCACAATAAGCCAAAATACATCCACGTATGTACCTCAATATATTGAAATGTCTTGGTTTTCTCTAATTTGCCCATCATTGCTTCTAAGAACACACCAAACCATTGAATTAATGACCAATATACAAAATGGACGTATGCACCATGCCAATAATACACATAACCAAATGTTGTTATTGAACTTAGCATTTGTCGGAAAGCGCCATTCTTAGAGCCTCCCAATGGAATATAAATGTATCTATTGGAGAAAGAAATGTGTGCTAAGTTAAATGCTTCAATAGTATATGGTAAAAACTATCCCATTTTCTATCACTAGCAAATGATCACCAATAACTGGATAAATGCTACTAACATTCAAATATTAGCCATATAGCTTAGGGAAAAAAACTAGCCTGGGGTAATACAAATCACAACTGCTAGAGCAGGGGTGGGCAACCTCTCCAGTCGGCGGGCCAGATTTAAGAGAATGAAGTTATTGGTGGGCCGGATTATTACATGAATAATATTCAATATTCGATGGTCGGATACAGTCAGCGGGCCAGTCAAAATCCCTTCAGGGGTCTAACTTGGCCCGCAGGCTGTATGTTGCCCACCCCTGTGCTAGAGTGTATATATCTATGTTTTTTGTTAGGTAAGAGGATATTATCCCATAAATTATATAAGGTACTCACTTCATTAGCCAATTATGCAATCCTTTATCAAATGTCCTAGGAAATAAAGCATACATGTATGGATGATGATTCCATTATTGAGCCTGGCAAGTATGAATTTCATAGTGGACAATTTGGCATTGTGTTTTACTCACTTCCACATAGTCGTAAAAAGATAAATATTTAAGACACACATAGGTATGTCAGGTGGATTGATGCCATCCAATCTTGAGTACATTCCTGCTACTCGATAAAATATGACATACTTCACAGAAAAAAATAATACTTGAAGATACACAAGACCACTTGAGAAAAATAGCGAGTAATTTTCTATGATATATAAATCCTTGCTTAGTGATGACACATAAAGGTAATGAGAACTGATTTCAACCACAAAATGCCAAAATATTGATCGAACACCATCCCATGCAAAAGATTTCAAGACTTTCTTTGACAATGGTGCAGGTGGTTTGCTGACCTGTTTAAGATGAAATCTTCTGTAAATAATGCATTCATCATATACATGAGTATTTCAGAATTTCAAACCTGTATATAAAAGTCATCAAAATTGACTACTGGTCCACTGCAGAAAAGGGGTAGGTAAAAATTGTATCCAATTAAGTCCACAAAACCATATTTTATGGTGTTTGTAGATTTTTCTTTCTTTGCTGCATAACAACTGTCCAAACAAAAACTTGTTCCCTTTAGCTGACACATGAGGGAGGTAATTAAAGCAAAATCACCTTCCCAACGATTTCTGTTAAAAGTGTAAAACTACAAATGATGAAGGAAAATGCTGGTCAGTTTGCATGAACAGTGTTTTTGAGCTATTTCAGAACACCAGTAAACTTAAACTACCTGTAGTTTTATTGACTGGTTGAATGAGACAAAAGATATCAACAAAGAAATACAAAGCAACCAACAAATCACAATTGATTTAGTCTTTGATGCAATGAAGTATACCACATTGTGCCCCAGAAAAATCATTGTTTGTTTCCAACCAAGACTGTAAGTCAGACAACCAAATGGAAATATTGCAAAGTAAGCCATTCTGTACTACAAGGGAAAGTATAGTGTTGAGTGTTTCATTTGTGTATGAGATGATCCGCATGATTTGTGGACACCTGTGGATACAACCAGGACACCAAACGATTGCCAACAGAATGGAGTGACAACCCAATCATTAAAGGAACCATCAGCCTTTTCCAATATTGCCACTCAAAATCTGAGTTATCCTATCCATAAACATGTACATTATCAACAAAAACTTGTTTTTCTTAACGCATACTACTAGTGAATAGAATTAACGAAAGTGTTTGCCTTCTTTCTACCCAAGATTTTCCAACCATCAGTGAAGTCTGGCGAATAGAGCTCTTTTGGATTTTCTGGTAACGTTAATAAACGTATATTTAAAAAATAAATTTATAGCTTTACAAATGAGAAAATCTAGTACTAAACTTGTTTCAATACAATTGATACGTCAATGTTAAGGATCTGTTTACCTTGTGGAAATATGTAAACTTGGTAAACAGCCATCGCGAAGAAATATAAATATATTGCGAAATAAATAACCTTTTCCAGAAGTGATAATTCTGCTACTGCACCAATTTTTGGTTTTTCAATTTCATTTGGTTTTTCCATTTCATTTGGTTTTTCCAATTCCGAAGTCAGTGTAGAATCTAATTACAACTTGTCCAAACAAAGTCATAATTCATTTATGTAAATGAATAAAATGACTAAAGTCTTTTATTTGTGTTATTTAGCAGTAAACCGTTACATACTGTAAACCCAATTTGACAATCTGATTGGCCAAGAAAGTCATAGAATTTTGTCTACTCTTTTCTGAGTGAACGGAATGGGGTGTGAAATTTGCTCAACTCTTGGATATTGAAAGGAATTCTCCTTAGTTTCTTTATGTTTCTTAGCAGAGTATATCGACAGGCGTTACAGCTTTGTGCAACCAGAAATTATGCTCGTTTCATGCACGCAGAATCTGGAAAATGCGCCATTAATAATGTCGAATTGTATTATGAAAAAGTTGGAGACGGACGTAAGGTGCTGCTTTGTCTTCCCGGTGCCTTAGGCTCGACACGTTCAGATTTTGGTCCGCAACTTGATGCACTAACCAAGGACTTCACTTTGGTGGCTGTTGATCCCAGAGGATATGGTAAATCGATACCACCAAAACGTGATTTTCCTTTAAACTTCTTCCATCGAGATGTAGAGGATGCCGTTGGTCTTATGAAACAAATTGGTATTTTTTCAATCTTTGAGGCTACATTTAAGTTTTGAGGACTGTTTTTAGCTATAATTTTATCTTATTCAAGGTTATGAAAGGTTCTCGATTCTTGGCTGGAGTGATGGTGGAATATGTGGTTTAATCCTGGCTGGCAAACACCCGGAGGTTGTGGAAAGTATGGTTGTGTGGGGATGTAATGCTTCTGTGACTGAAGAAGATCTTAAGTTGTATGAAGCTATTCGAGATGTTTCCAAATGGAATCCAAAAATGAGGCAACCTTTAGAAGGTATTTACCTTGTGTCAATTAAGAAAGAGTTAGGTTTAATTTACCATTTGAGCAGAGGCTAACTAGAATGTTAATTGGGGAGGGGTGTATATTCATATATTCAGTTGTGCCCTACTGGTTTCTTTGGAAATTACTTTCAAAAAAAATCAGTAGGGCACAACAGAATATATGAATATGCACCCCCCAATTATCGTTCTAGTTACACCTCTGCATTTGAGATCACAAGGATAGTGTCATTTTCTTGATCTATGTTAACTGGCATTATAAATTTTTTGTTTAAGAACTTTATGGTGATGGTGTTCAAGATCTCTTTAGTGGCTGGATAGATTGTTTAACTCGTATTTTTCATGAGCATGAAGGGAACATCTGCCAAGAGTTTTTATCAAAAATTTCTTGCCCAACATTGATCATACATGGTGAAAAAGATCCCCTTGTGCCCACATTTCACCCTCAGTATATTCACAAAAACGTTAAAGATTCAGTATTGCATTTCATGCCAGAAGGTCGTCACAATCTGCACTTGCGTTTTTCTGAGGAGTTCAATAAATATGTTACCGATTTTTGTAATGTGTAATACAATAAAATACAGAAATTTTATCCAAATAGAAGATGTTTATTTTTGTGCTTGTTAATGCCCTAATTTTAAAAGCTCACTCACACTTACTCTGCCATCATAGCTATTCCAAGACAGTGCTTTCACTCAACTGATTGCTTTGTTTGAATATTTTAGTAGAAATCTTGCCATTGATGGAGAAATGAGATTTCCTAGTCATTGATATATATCAAACAACATTTAACTGAATGTGTTATATGCATTTTAATGATATATACAATACACAATAATACATAATGATATGTTGTTGTTCATTTGCGACATTTGTTGAAAAAGAAAAGCGCGCCAAAGAGAGATGATTTTACAACAAATATGGCGATAGTTTTTTTGAACTAGTTTTCTGCGCAAAAAATGCTAGCTCCTACTCGTTCGAAACTTGTGTGTTATGAACCGTTTGGTAAGCATTTTTTCTAGACATGTCTTGGGTAGTTATTTTTTTCATTAGCTGTTTTTGGGGTATTTTTGTTCTTTTAAACGACAGTCAATTATTAGTGTACACAGGACGGCCTTCATATTTGTGTTGTACGTGGTGGAACTTCGATGACTGATGATTTTTCCATGATAAAGCTCACTTTAGTTTTTATATTTTAGTGAAACCTTCCTTAGGTGTTTTGTTTTGTCTTTTGGGTTTCTGCTCTTAATTAAAACAAAACTTTATAAGACGTTAGGCTAGACGAGAGTCTCAGGCTTGAGACTTAAAATGGTCGACTATCTCTGGGTCTGGGTCGAAGAACATAGTTAGGGACAGTAGAAAATAGTCTAAACTGCGATTTTTTAATGGCACTTAATGTTAAGGTTTATCGTGAACGTTAAGGCTAAGATTTGTGATAATTTTACTTGTCAAAGACTTCGTACGAGACTAAGATTTCTATGTTATTTTTATGTAATTATACCTCTATCAGAGCTCGATGAAAATAAAGGAGATGACGTGGAAATAGCACGCGATACGATCGCTGTGCAGCAGCTATTGACTCATGTACCAGACATTGTCATCAACTGTGACCATGAGAAACGAGTACCGTTTGTTGAACAGTTCAAAGGTGTTTGTCTGTTTGCTGATATATCTGGTAATAAATCTTTCATTTTTGCTCGTCAAACTTTTTGATGAACGTTCGAAGATTGTATGTGTTGTTAAAGATTCAATAATTGTACAGGATTTACAGCACTTTGTGAGAAGTATAGTAATCTGTCAGATACTGATGGTGGAACCTGTGGAACAGATCAACTCAGTGCCACTTTAAACAACTACTTAGGAAAGATTGTTGAAGGTGCATTTTTGAACTTTAAAGTTTATTTGCTAGTGATTGCAAATGGCTAAAACTGGGTTTTAATGTTTAACTTTTATTTCATTATAGGTATTTTACGAAATGGAGGGGACGTTCTGAAGTTTGCAGGTTTGTGAAATAAGTCAATTGGTCAACTGTAGTCAATTTAATGTTTTGTCTTGAAAATGCTTTGTTAAATGTTTGTGGTTGTAGATCGTCTAGGTTAGTAGAGTCATGAGAAGGACTGTTGTTGTTGGTGTTGACTGACGTTTCGACAACCTTAGCGGTAGTCATCTGACTTTGAAGAAACATGTAACAATACTCCCGATTTCAAACCATTTACTTTAAAATACTTTGTCTTCGTTAACCATTTTTTCATCAAGTTGAAGGTGTACTGCTGCGTGTAGCTATATGAGTATTTTACGTATTAATGGATCTTTGTAGCCAGTGTATGGTTCGAAAACCCCAGAAATAACTATTCCAAATTCAAACAATTTATTCATTCGTTTGAATTAACGACCAGATCCATTGCTTTTGCTCGATTGAAAAATTTTGATTTTCCACTGCAGGAGACGCATTATTTGCTATGTGGAAAGTTGGAAACGCTACATCAAGCTTAACTCCTCTGGTAAACAGTGCAACGATGTGTAGTCTTGCTATTCAAGAAGAATGCGATAAATACATGACAGATGTTGGTGTTTTATTGCAAGTTAAAACTGCTGTTGCAGTTGGTGTTGTCTACGTTACCTACGTTGGTCTTGAATACAGCAAACAGTTTGACATGTCTGGTCCTGCCATTGATGACGCTAACGCTGCAGAGAAATGGGCCGAGCCTGGCTCTGTTGTGCTATCTCAGACAGCATGGGATAATTGTGAACATGGCTTGTTTTTACATGAACTAGTCGAGGATGGTCATCATCAAAAGGTATAGTTTTCATGCCACGCACCATCTCGCCAGCCCATGTACATTGGGAAAATCGTCTTTTTTCTGTTGTTTTTCATAAAAACAGTCGTAAGCACTGTTTGTAAGGTTTGCTTCAGTAATATTGTTTTATTTTAAATGAACATTCAATGTAGGTGCTAGGAGTTAAACAACAAGAAGTAATGACGCCATGTCAGTTGACGAATATGTCCTATTTGGTTGCATCAATGTCTGGCGTTCTCACCGCCCATTCAATGCGTGCATCTGCACCAGCTATTGCTAAACGAGCTTTAGGACCTCATCTAGGTGATTTTTACGAGAAGCATTTTCCATATTGGAAATGTCCCAAGATATTCTGCAATACACGTAAAGATCGTAAAGAGATGGTTGTCGATAAAGTGAAGGTTTCGTCTGGTATTGCTGGTCTGATGACTTATGATCCTGGTAGGTGCTCAATTATCTTCCAAAAATGCTAATACTTGAATGTTTTAAAGAACAATACATGTTGTTATTGATGATAGATGCCAGATTATTGATGTATAGCAAGTTGTCTGATAAAAAAGTCGACGATCTTCGTTCTTATATCCCAGGACCTGTGTTGTATAAGGCAAGAAATTTGTATAGAAATTCTCGTAGTACTCACTATGTCTGTTTATAAAGTTTTTTCAAATTTCTTTCATGGGATGTAGATCGATCATCATCAAGATCTGGAATGGCTATCGGAGATGCGTCAGGTTTCTGTGTTGTTTGTAAATATGTCCTTACCAAATAACGTTAACGAAGCTGCCAAGACTGTACAGAAAGCATATGATGTCATCTATGATACTGTCTGCAGATTTAAAGGTAATTATTTATCGTTTGACGGATGCATTGTAAATGGCATATTTTTTAGTTTTCTTTTTCTTTTTACAAAACAGGCAACTTGAATAAAGTCTTCTCATTTGATAAGGTATTAGGATTTTTACTGGTTTTATGTTTACGACTATAATTTATGCAACAGAAAAGCTCTGCGACCGTCAAGAGCGTGATGTTTTTTTAAAGTTTATGATTATTGTACAGTTGCTTTTTCAAGGCTGAGTCTTGTTGAATATGATCCGTTTTTTATTAGATGATCGTTTTTTTCAAGCCAAATCTAAAATTTTAAAGTCGTTTTAGACTTTTAGGACGCAACTTTCCATTTTACAGCGAACTTATTTTATTTATTTAATATCGTGTAAAATTGTAAGCCGAGTCCTTCTGAGGTTTAGGCTGATGATTTAGTAATATTTCTTTACTTGTTTTCATATTCACGCAAAGGGTTGTACTTTTGTCGTAATTTTTGGTTTACCCGGTGATAAACACGACGATGATGCAGCAAGAGCCGTCAGTGCAGGCTACACAATCATGGAGAGACTTCGACCAATACTGGAAATTACGTAAGTGGCTGTGAATGGTCAACTGAACTCATCTTAGACACATGTGTCAATTTTTATTTAAAAACTATACCTGTCTTTGTAACAAACTATAGCAAGGATAAACATGATATATTTAGAAATGAATCAATTGGAATTACTACTGGTCGAACATTTTGTGGTGTTGTTGGTCATCTCGACCGTCATGAATACACTGGTATATATTTATTAACGTAGCACTTTATATACAGGGCATTTGTAACAAGTAGAAAGTAAATACATTACTCTTTCACGGTCATTTGATGAAGTCTCGCAACTTTCTGTCATTGTTGAAAATGATTGTTTTTATTGCTCATAGGATGAAGTTCGTCAAAAAATAATCTCCATAATAATTTTAAAGTTTGGCCTTCTAGATTTATTTATGTAGAAGAAATTTCCATGTTTCGATTGCTGTTTTTTCTCTCTTCAGTTTTCATATTTTTATATAAGGATAGACTAAATTAGCTACATTACGTCATTCTAAGTTTATATACACACACACACACAAGAGGTTACGAAGCTGTTGAAAGTGATCAACATTCTTATCTTTTATAGTGATTGGTAGTAAAGTGAACATGGCCGCTCGTCTTATGATGAACTATCCAAACATTGTTAGTGTTGACGAGGAGACTTATAAATTAGCTATAACAAAGTTGAATAAACAGGATTTCGAGCCGCTACCGTCGAAAAAGTTAAAGGGATTGCTGATCCTGGAATTGTTCGCGAGTATAACAAAGATCACGAGTAAGATCTTCTATAGCTATGAAAATCATAGGTCTGACGAAATTTCGTGAACGTCATCTGTATTTCATTTGGTTTTGTTTAGTTCTTTATTGAGAGCTTTAGTTTAGAAAGTAATTAATGGAGGTTTGAATCAGATCTAAACAAATATACAAATTAAAAAGTACAAACGTTACTTTTTGAAAATTAGTTTTTCTTTTTTTATTGTGTTTATTAGCCGCATCAAGGAAGAAGACGATGAATTTAACTATCCAATACTAGGTATTTATGTACATATTTGTGTAACAATAGGCAATTTTGAATTGTTAGTTTAATGCTAACAAAAATATGATTTACACCTTTGTATGTGCACACTGGACAGTCGCCTTTAGACGTAAAACTGTGTCGTTATAGTGCTGGTGACCACTTTGCAACTGACCACTTTGCAACTGACCACTTTGCTTCTGTTTGAATATTTTTTATAACAACGGATGTTTATTAGAAAGAAATAGCATTAGTTATTCTCATTTGGGGCATACATAAAATTCTTGGCTAAATGAAGCTGTTGTTTCAAGGCCGAGAGAAAGAACAACGTATGTTTCGAAAATTACTGCGAAATATCAAGGCCGAAGACAGCCATCTGGATAGCAAGG